AAATCACAGGCCTTTTAGATTTTCAATTCACATAAGACAGAGTAGCTCTACTAATGCTACTGGACTGTGATTTACACCAGTTGATGTTCTGCCCTTTACAAAATCTCATACACAGAATAATCATCCTAACAGCTATTTCTTTCTCTCTTACCAGATAGCTTCAAACACAAGATCTTTTCCTTTGTTCTTATAGCACTTTTTTTCTTCCCCTGAACATTAAATGGTCATTTATATAGCAATCAATATGGTCATAACTTCAAAGAGCAAATATATAATTCATATAATCAGAGAAAAACTAAAACAGTTCCTTAACTGAGACAAATTTTAAACTGTCACAGCTATACCAAGAAAAGTCAATGATGATGCTTTCTCATAAGCCTCTTCCCCTATTGCAATGGCTTGCTAAGCCTGCACAGCTGCCGTGCTGCCTTCTCCAGCTTTTAGCTGCGCTGTAAGGATGAAGACCAAGAGCTTTATAGATTCACAAGCACTATTAGAAGTGTAAGATGGGGGACTTTTTGCCAAGGAAAAACAAACTTGTGCACTACAAAACAGTGCTTTTTAGCATACTAAGCTGGTGAAGGGCCTGGAACACAAGTCCTGTGAGCAGTGGCTGAGGGAACTGGGGTTGTTTAGTCTGGAAAAGAGGAGGCTAAGGGTAGACCATATTGCTCTCTGTAACTACCTGAAAGGAAGGTGTGGGGAGCTGGGAGTCAGCCTCTTCTCTCAGATGAGTAGTGATGGGATTAGAGGGAATGGCTTCAAATTGTGCCATGGGAGGTTCAGGTTGGAAATTATAAAACATTTCTTCTCAAAGAGCAGTCAGGCATTGGAATGGGTTGCCTAGGAAGGTGGTGGTGTCACCGCCCCTGGGGGTGTTCAAGGACATGTTGGACGTGGTGCTTAGGGAAATGGTTTAGTGGGTGACATTGGTGGTAGGGGGATGGTCGGACCAGATGATCTTGGAGGGCTTTTTCAACCTTAACGATTGTGATTTGTGTTTGCCTTTTCTTTCCAGTTGCAAACAATTAAATATATCGGTTTGGAATGGCTATGATCATGGTATTATAAGCTGCTGGTATCACTGTATCAGTATGATACTGTCCTTAGGCTGTATAATTGCATCTCCCAGTAAGGCTAATGAGTTCAGGTAAGCAAACAATTTCACATGAGTATACTGGTTTTAAACTTGACTCATCTAAAGATAGAATGGATGGACAGAGTCTGTACAGCTCAGAGCTGTACATCATGTCTTATGTCTCCTATTCTTGGAGATCGTTTTTTTATTTCTGTCCCACCTGGGGAAATTGACAGTGAACATAATCATAGAATATCTTGACTTGGAAGACACCCACAAGGATCATCAAATCTAATTCCTGACTCCACAAAGAACTATGTAAAAATCAGACCATGTGTCTGAGAGCATTATGCAAACACTTGAACTCCAGCAAGCTTGGTGCCATGACCACTGCCTTGGGGAGCCTGTCCCAGTGCCCGACCACCCTCTGGGTGCAGAAACTTTTCCCAACACCCAGCCTGATCCTCCCCTGTCCCAGCTCCATGCCGTTCCCTCGGGTCCTGTTACTGTCCCCAGAGAGCAGAGCTCAGCGCCTGCCCCTCCACTCCCCTCATGAGGGAGCTGCAGGCCGCCATGAGGCCCCCCCCCCCACAAGCCTGCTCTGCTCGGAGCTCAACAAACCAAGGGTCCTCAGCCGTTCCTCCTGTCTTGCCGTCTGGACCCTTCACCATCTTTGTAGCCTTCCTTTGGATACTCTCTAACAGTTGTATGACTCTTATTATCTGGTGCCCAAAATTGCACACAGTATACTGAACATGATGCTGCATCAGTGCAGAGTAGAGCAGCACAATCACTTCCCTTGACTAGCTAGCAGTGCTGTGCTTGATGCACCTCAGGATGTGCTTGGCCCTCCCTGTCATTTACCAAATTCCTTTCTGCAGAGCTGCCCTTCAGCCTTTCGTCCCCCAGTCTGTACATACATCCAAGGTTGTCCCTTCCCAGGTGCAGAATCTGGCACTTCTCTTGTAAACTTCATATTGTTGGTGATTGCTCAGCCCTCTATGATATTTCAATGATATTTGAGCAAAATGCATACGTGCAAGTGTGATCATCACTTACACTTGCACTTCTTGACCTTCTTTGGGAGAAAACACCAGATCATTAATGTAATCTGAGTGGCCATCAAATGTCTGTCACCAGAAAAAAGAAATATTTTTAACTTTGAGCAGACTGTTCCACCATTAGTTAACAATATATTCAACAGAACCACTCAATGAAAGATTTGAGTGTACAATAAAGTTATCATTTCTACATGGAAGGGAAAAATATTCATTAGTAAAACGGAGATATTTTAAAACCTCTAACGCTTGTGTATATTTACACTGTAGGTGAACGGAACCCCACTGCCTCCCTTGTCATTACCACAGAGGTCAGCTGATGCTCTAGTAAGTGGATCACACCACAACTTCTTATTCTTTTTCAACCACTGAATTTTGAAGGTAGAAGATAATAAATCTCAGAAAAAAAGAGGAAAATCAACAGGAAGTCAATGTACACATAATTTATATATTTAAAGAACTCCAATTATTCATAAGTAACTCATCTCTAAACAAGAGTTTTTAATAGGGAATTCCTGCAAGCAGCAAGAGGTTTTTTTTCCTGAAGGAGCAATAGCCAATCACTTGTCCAGTATATTCCCTTTCCCAAGCAGTCAATATATAAAATTCCTCAAGAGCAGATATCCACAGAGATGGCAAAGGACCAAAAAACTACCTTTAGAATTGTGGTGGTTTTACCGTGCTGGGCAGCTAAACCCCACAACCGCTCTCTCACTCCCCCTCCTTTAGATGAGGAGGGGGAGAGTAAAGCAAAGAACAACTCACGGGTTGAGATAAGGATAATTTAATTAAAGGGAAACAATTATAATAATTAAATAAAGACTACCATGAACTAAACAATTTAATTAAGGGGAAATAGAAAGGGAAAGGGGAAAAGGGAGGGGAAAAGGAAAAATAAAAAGAAGGGAGGAAAACAAACAAACAAATAAATGAAAGCTATATGGAAGTGCAGAGGAAGAAATTACTCTCTACTTCCCACAAATGAGCGATGATTGACCACGTCCTTGAAGCAAGGCCTCAACGCACGCAGCCGGTGTTCGAGAGGAGGACCGACGTCTTCTCAACGAGAGCCCACCCCTCCCCTCTTCTTCCTGTTTCCACCTTTTATTGCTGAGTGTGACATCACATGGTATGGAATATCCCTTTGATTGCGTTAGGTCAGCTGCCCTAGTGATGTTTCCCTCCTCACTTTTTGCCCACCCCTAGGAGGGTTAAAGAAAGGCCCGATGCTGTGCCACTGCTGCTCAGCAGTAGACACAACACTGGTGTGATAACACTGCTGTTTCCAGCTACAAGTAAGAGTATGGCACTGTATGGGCTGCTGCCAGGAAAGTTAACATTCCAGCCAGACCCAGTACAAGAATAAAAGTGAAAAAAGTCTCAATGAAACAAGTAACAATGCATGCTGAAGGCTTCATGAAAACTAAAAGTGAGGAACAACAGCACGTGAAAAACAAGCTGGCCACACAATATCACAGCAGTTAATCACAGTTTCTGTTAAACATTTGACAGAAACTAACATAGTACTTTATGCTCTTTGCTTTATATACTCTTGTACTGAAGAGTAAGGAAAATTGGGCACAGTGCACACTGTGAAAGTAATAGATCATCCATTTTCAAATAATAGGATATAATTACCCATGGTGTGAATGTACATATGAACTAGCAGTCAAAAGCAAACATTCACAGTTGTATCAGAAAGCATGAAGTCATTTCAAAGGGAACTATTACTATGTAATTGTCCTCAGCTGAAATGTATTAATCATGACATTTTTATTTCAAAGTACTGAGAATAATTTATCTATAATGAAAACCAACTTAGTAACATAGCTTCCCTGAACGAGAAGCAGAATCACAGTTTTCAGTAAAAGTTAAAAGGATATTTTTTACATATTCGGAAGGCTTTTCAGCTGTCTTAGCCATAAAATCACAACACCATTTTCTTCTCAATTCCGTTAAGTGTTTTGTACTTATCTACAGATATCAGCAATCTTTAAGCTTTACAATATCTTCAAACATCTAAATTAAAGATCAAATGCACATTCAGCATTAAGCAAGCAGGCAAAACTCATCTCATTTAAGCTGAGTCTGAAGTACTTTCAACCCTGCTGAAATACTTTTTCAACCCTGCCCAGAGCAGGGGGGTTGAAACTACATGATTTTTAAGGTCCTTTTCAATCCAGGCTATTCTATGATGTTATGATTCAAATTCATTCACATGTTTGTTAGGTATGAGTACATCATCTCTGATCTCATTAGAAAATCTGTAGCTAGTAAGTATCAGTTTGTTCAATCTGAGGATTCGTGTGTGTTTTCTCTCACTATGGTCTTTATGCCAAAAAAATCAATTATAATTACTTAAATCACTTAAAATTTGAAGTCAATTATTTGAAGTCCATATGTAGATGCTGGATCTATTACTGTTTCATCCTCTTTACTCTCACTGAATAAGTCACTAGGCATAGATGCTATTGTTTTGCCCAAAGTATCATAAAAGGACACAAAAATATCCACTGGAGAATGCATGACATGAAGAGATGGCAAGGAAAAAACAGGTTGAATGAAAACAATCACTTCTCAGCTTTCTGAGAGAACAAAATACTGTTTCTCTGTGTTTGTTCCTCAGAACGAGCTATGCAACTGATCAAAAAGAAAAAATAAATCTGTAAACCATGCACAATAATGAAGCTGCCCCTTTAAAAAAGTTATGACTGTTCAATACATCAGTTCAATACAGAACCACTTTCAGCAGCCAAGTTATTTTTTTCCCCCAACAGCCCATAATTTCAATAAAACCTTGTGGATTTCACTAGAACTAATACATCCTAAGATGATGCCAAACTCTTTAGACAGAAATGCAAGTCTTTTGAAAATTTTCAGCATTCAGAATTCAAAATCCTGCCTCATTTTACATACACAGTTTTGATGAAATATGCTTTTTATTAAGCAAAATCTGAAGCAGGAGAAGAAAGCCACAATTCATTTCCAAATGAAAACCTGAGAACAAGAAAAGATTTCACGAAGATCCATCAACTGTACTTTACCTTTTGTTTCTTGTTCTGGGCTTGATCCAGCCCATAAATTTTGGATTAGTTGTGTTGACAAAGTAATGGAAAACTCAGTATGCTTGAAGTTCCTTGTTGATAATTACATCAAGACAGTTTTTCCACTGGGAAAACAGAGCAAGATTATTCCGCCTATCCCTCCAGAAGCAACACATACTAATTGTTTAATATAAAAGACAAAATGTTCAGAGATTACATTTTGACTGTAATGACATACTTCCCTCAGCTTTTTTGCACATTTTGTACCTCTCTTGAAACCTCACGTGTAAAGTGTGCACTGTACAATGGATCAAAGTCTTCCATGTGTTCATTATGTATTCAACCCTAGGTTCATGAAATAATTTTTCTGAGGTTTTGATTGACTAATACTAAGAAACCATTCTATCAAACTGTTTAGAATTAACTCGGCATAGCTCATAGAATATTTGTGAACCTCTGAGATTTCCAAATACTTTAGATGGGAGTCAGGGTGTTATTTTTTTTTTCAATCACAAGAAGTATATAGCTCAATGATCATCCAAGTATAAGAAACTATGATGACTACCTGGAGAAAGTATTTTCTCCACTTTTTGTCAAAGCAACAACAAAAACACACACACACAAAATCAATCAAACAAACAAAAGCCTGGAACGTGCTTAAAGACATTTTTACCAAAGAATCACATAATGTTAGGGATTGGAAGGGACCTTGAAAGATCATCTAGTCCAATCCCCCAATATAAGCACACTATTCCTTTTCACTAATGAGATTCTCACTGTTAGGTAATAATCCACATTTTAGGCTGTTTTCTGATCATTTTAAGAGCAAGCCCGATCCAGTAAAAACAGGAATTTTTACTTCTTCCTCAGTCTCAGTATACCCTTGATGAAGTTCTTAGACTAAGTTCCAGTGGTGAAATTGGCATAAACAGTGCTAATAACTTCATTGCTAAACTGAAGCCAAAACTTCTCATTTGCATAGCATAAGCCCCAAATGGTCTTTAGTATTCTGTTGCGTCAAAAATAAACCATCTATTGTAGCTTCATCTGGCCACACAGTTGTATTGCCTCTTGTATTAATACATCCTCTATGATCATTACACTCACAACTTGTCATATTTTTTTTTCAGATGTGTTACGTAATTGACATACTTTTGCAGTAGAAGCTTGTAACTGCAGGTCAGCACAGTTTGTGTTAGAAAGAAGTCCTAAGGGTAGAAGAATCAGTTCTCCAAAGAATCTTTTGTATGAAAAACAATTGCTATCTTAATAGAAATATAAGTGTGGCATTTTAAATTTATTTGTAGGCACCCAGACAAAGCTACTGTGTAATATATTCCGCTAAATTAGAAATACATGTTTTAAAGTTTAATTTGTGTTGGTCACATAGCAGAAAAAAAAACTTGTTAGACCTGGGAAAAACAGTAACCCATCACAGAAATTCTATTTTGAAAAAACAGCATTTTTTCAGAATAGAATAGAATAGTAGCACAGACTGTGCTACAGCATTGCCTCCTTTGCTTCTATGGTTTTAATATTGATCATGCATTGACAGTAAACTACAAAATAACTGTCTCATCAGATATATGCAAATGATTATTTTAAGTGTGATTTTTTTTTTTTATTGTAATCTTATATAATTCAGTAATAAACAGCCTAATATAATTCTACATTAGAATAAACTTGCTTATTTAAACTTCTATTTTTAAAAAAGTTTAAGTTCATAACGCATCAAAAATGCATTTGTGTGAAGTTGTAATGCTGAATATTTATCATATGTATTTATTTAACTGGAAGCAATGGGTTCCTATTGAGGAAAACAGCATATCCCATTGAGAATTCCTAGCGTTAGTCTGGAAGGAGTCCTAAATCAATGTGCAACAGTCTGAAAGCTAGTATAGACATGAAGTCTGCTCCGGAATGTATAAAAGAGCACCTTCAGCTAAAGACCAGATGATAAGAGACAGGAGACAAAAAGAGGTATGAAGGCTATGAACTATCACAGCTGTCACTTTTTCACAATTTTTGGCAAAAACACAAAAATTTGTTGGTTGTTAACACCCAATAATTAAAGCTTTCGTATTCATTACATAAGGAAAAAAAAACACTCATTCATGCCTTGAACCATGCTGAAATGAAGAGACTTGTCACTGATTTTAGCAGACAGTCCGTCAGGCCCATTGTTAATCCAAAAAAAAAAAAAGAGAGAGACACTAGACAGCTGAATGTAGAGCCTGTGGTACCAGGTTCTTCTATGTGTTTGATTATTTCCACTAATTAACCATTCCATTGTCTATACTGTTATTAATGACTCTACCTATTCTCTTTCTTCCGCGTGCTTATAGACAATTCTATAAATTTCTCGAATTAAAACAGACATACGTAATGAGTAAAGTAACTTTATATTCTGCTAAAAAAAGTTAAAAGATTAACTCACACCATCAAAGCTGCTTGTCTACAATATCATAAAACTGACAGATATTATATAAAATGGTAACTTTGGTTAAGGAGTGACACACATCAACTTACAAGCAAACAACGTTAACAATTTCTAGAAATATTTTGCTAGAAGTGCCAGCCAAGCTCTTTGCAACCATGTCAGTTATCCTACTTCCTGGCTGACGAGGCCATACAAGGTGATGGACCAAGCACGAAGGAAGGAAAAAATGGGAAGGTGCATGCATGAAGTAACATAGAACATCTTTTCTGAAATTAAAATACTTTTTATTTTTTAGTAATGTCCATTTTTACTTATATATAGCTTTACTCACTCCATTATTATTTGACCAAGAGTGACATCTGCAATTAATTTACTTTCTGTATGACAAATATTGTCTTACTAATACATACTGCCAAACCACAAAGGAAAGCCAGTTCTTTTCCCCTGCATATTGAATACACAACTCTCAGAGGCATTATCATACTCCAAAGCACTAAAGAAGGAACCCTAACCCCTGATTTTTCAGCATTGATTAGCTTTGCTTGTTCTTGTCTGAAACCTCAACAAAACAAATTCAAACGAACATCTAATTAATATTAATATTTGGACTGGGGTATTGTTTCAAAGGCAAAATTTTGAAGAGTATGTACATACCCAAGTGACGTAGGAGTTACAAAGACAAGAATGCCTTACAAACAACAGAAATCTCTTAGACCCGACACCTCTTAACATCACCGGTGAAAGAACACTACACTGAAAGAACAGGAAGTGAAGACGTATTTGAAGGAGTCATTCCCTTTCTTTTTATTTTAGACATAAACAAGTACTGGCCCATGGCCATGTTTTATATAACTGTCTGCAGCTACGTACAAAATTCAATATTCTTTCTTTAAATCTTGTACTGTACAAAATGGTTTCATTGCAACTTTCCTGTTTCCCAAGGAAAGAGACAAAGCATTAAATTTGCTCTCCATAAAGACAAGTCTAATAAACAATACCACATAATATTTTACAGGTCTCTATGTAAAGGAACCTTTTCCAACACAGTACTTCAAATTCACCTGTAGAATATTTTTAGACCATGTTTTAGACCACAAATAAACTTCTACTTACTTTTTGTCAATTTGGCTGTTACATATATACTTTTAAATCAAAATATAATATAGCTGATAATTAGTTATGCCCACTTTAAAGATATAAAGGTATATTCAATACACTGATCTTTGCTAGAGATGATGGGTCTGCCAGAGTTTAGTGTTCTACATCATACTGTACATTAAGAAAAGTGAAGCACAAGCTCAGTGAAAGATTAGACTCCATTAGAGACTAAAGAAATATTCAATATCAGCTCAGTTACCCTTACCTTATATTCATTCTTGTCCTGCAGGTCTGAAGTAAATAGCCTTAACTTCCTATCAGAAGCTGCTGTACAAAACCTACACTCAACAGAAAAAGAAAAGCCCTTCTGTCAGGTAGCACTGCAATTTATTTTTTTTTTAATGTTAAAACAACAACAACAACAACAACAACAAAACAAGAACAACAACAACAACAAAAAAAACAAACAAACAAACAACAACAAACAAAACAAAACAAAACAAAACAGAAAAAAGAACAAACCAAACCAGATCAATCAAGAGTTTCACCCCATTTTAAACCTGCAAAATGACATGCAAAAGGAAATTTAGATTTTCAATCAAACGTATATTCTAATTTTTCTGCTTTGGCATCAACCATTCAGAGTTATAATTGGAACTTGCCTATAAAATACGGTGTATCAAGTGCCAAGAATACTTTTTAATGGAAAGTAATACAAAACATTTGACAAAGCTAAATCTGAATCAACTATGAATTACCTGAAATCTCTCTTATAACTGCCACAGAATTTACCTTGGAGGAAGTGGCTGATAGAAAAAACAGAACCCTCATCATCAGTGTTTTAAATTACCTAGGCATTAATTTATTAACCAGTCTCCAACTTATTTTAAACAAAAGACTGTAAAAATATGCAGCAGTAAGCAACCAGTATAGTTTTGAAGAGGCTTACAAGCAATTGAGAGCATCTGAATTCATGTTAAGTGCATATTTAATAATTGACCATTTTTCTAGACTTACAGCTTGACAGGTCTCACAAATAGCATCCGACTTACTCCTAAACATAGCCCATACTATGGAGAACATCCCGTGTAATTTTACAAAGCAGGCCATGATACTAGTATCATTCTTACAATGATACATACACATTATACAGATACATACAACAAAAAGACTAACTAGATTACAGGTCGATTAAAATCTAAAAATCTAGTGTCTACTGTGAATCTACTGTGGGGAGGAAAGAGTAAGGGGCTCAGGAAGCAGAACAAAATATATAAGGATGACTAAGAATTAAACTGTTGTTCCAATGGTGTTCACAGACTTCCAACAGCAATTTCTTCAGAGTTAGATTTCAGCTGTAAGCATTAAAGTTAGTTCAATACTAAGGACTTAGAGAAAACAGATATGAGAAAACAGATATGACACAAGGACTCATTATAGTAATTTATTCGAAATACCTTATCTGGGGAGGTAAAGCATCAAGTCTAGTTTCTGGACTCCTTGCTATGGCATCAACACTGATTCCATGACAAAATGTTCGTAGTGTCTAATATAGCATGCCTTCCACTTCTGCATCCTCTTCCTACAGAAATACTGTAGTTAGCTAATTCAGAATAACAGGTTGATGACTTCTAACAAGTCAGATTGATATGAAGTTGAAAGTTAGATGTGTCTGCTGCGATAAAGAAAGTATTTACTTGAAATATGTAAGTAAATAAAAATCCATGAAATGATTGCAGTTCCAAACCAAAGTCAACATAGCAAAAAAACAAACCTACATTGCACAAAAAGATTTGCCAGAGGGACATGCTGAGCCCATTCTTTGGGCTCAATATCAGCATAGATACAACTAGAACCACTGACAACAGCATGATAAGCACACACTGCAATGCAAAATAATGGGAACAAAAGCAAGGAGGCCATGTAGGTTATCTTCTTTCCCAATTGGTTTTACTTTATGGAAAAATGCTAGAACAACCTGGTTGGTACTGGAAGAACAGCAGCAGGTAGAAAGGTACCCTTCATCATTTAACATGACCAAAATTACTACCTTGGCTATTCTTCCCAATAGTGAGGGAACTGGATGGTGACAAAGATGAAACAATTGCTGGGATTGTGGACTTAATGAATCAACTGATCTCCAAAAAGTTCTCAAAACATCCTGCGTAGTACCTCAAAATGTCGGAAGGCTATTTTGATGAAATGTTCTCTATGGCACAATTCTGCTTTAAGGAAAAAAATCTTTCTGTATACACTCTGCATAATGTAGATGCTAGGAAGGACCTAGGTGATTTTCAGAAAATTTCCAACACTAAGACTTTGGGGAATAATAAAGACCAGTTATACTGTTTTCTGTATTAGATAGTAAAGTATAAAAATAGTACCATGTAAAGGAGAAGTGAGCTCAAGAAAAAGAAAGTAAAAATAGATTCCAAAGATGAGAGTGTTCTACTATCAATTTTCAAGCACCCAGGGGAAAAAAAAAAAAAAAAGAAAAAAAAAAATTATTACATATAAATATACACAGTATGCTATCTTACTTTTTAAAAATTTTCACGATATTGTGACTGGAAATGATGTCAAGGTAAAAAAAACATATTTTACTGTTTCTAACAGTCTGTCAGAGAGATGTAAAATAATAACCTAGAAAGCAGATGTATATTAAGTAACTATTTGCCATTGTCCTTCCTTGAAAGAAATGTCTCTAAACTTACTTTGGAAATTTTAATTATTCCTTTCTTATTTCGGGTATTTGAAATCTTTGCTGCTTTGATAGCTACCTGAAATCCTTAAAAAAATAGAACACCATATAGCAAATGTTAAGTTACATATTTCCAAAGCTAACTGCTTAAGTTCCCAGGTAGTAGTCACAAACATTTGCAAGAAATACTGAACTGGGATTACTCTTCCAGTAGAGCACTCCTGTTTTCATTGCAGCCTACTCAAAAAGAACTTTACACCAGCAGGATGCTAATACCAATATGTATTTATATATACATTTTTTTCTCTTTAAGACCAAATATCCCAAAGTCATTAATGTAATAAAGGAGTAAAACACTTCCTGGCAAAATGGGAAAGGAAAGACGCAGGAAAGTGACTTTAGTCTTTGTCAGAAGACATGCTGTCAGTTTCAGGAAGCAACTAATAAAAGCAATAAACAAAAACTAACCTGAAATCTATGTGTCCCTGCAACTACATAGTTATTGCCACCATATGCAATGAGGGAACATGCACCTCCACTATTAAATGGATTGAATTTTATCACATGCACATAATCTTCACAGTCCACCGTGTAAGCAGCATTTCTAGTAGACTCTTGCTTCATTTCCAGGGGACTATGTCAAAGTATCATGGAAGTGATGTCTTCTTCAGGATGGAGGTCAATGTTCCTATAGGGAAAGTATTAAAAAGCATACATTGTGTATTTGCATAAAGAAAAAAAAGTATTTGTGGCGCAACAACTCAAGATTTCTTGTAACACCATATTTATGGACACAAAAGGTCAACTTAAGCTCATTAGATCCAGATTTAACACCTAATTCCAACTATCAAGAGATTAACTAACCTAACTGACCTAATTCACTAACAGGCATTCAAAACTTTTTCTACAGACATCAGTAACAACTGCAGGTTTTGTGCTACTGATGGCAACCTATCAAGACATGGGATTAAGTAACTCGACGTACCAGAAAAGTCACCCACGTAATTTTAAAAATTTCAACCAAATGACAACAACATATCTATTATTACCTTCAAATTCTCTTCCCTGGTGTACCTCTTTAAAGGACAATCGGTATCTAACTAAAAGCAGAATTAAAACCACCAAACTCTAAATGCAAACACGATTCTGCACATTACTTGTCTCATGGCATAAGCCAGCCCAACTGCAGACAGTGCCTCTATGCCTCTGTACTTGCACAGAAAAAGTTCATTTTCAACTGGATCAAAAGTATACCGAAACATTAATGCTTTACTCCATTCAAGCACTTTCCAAGAAAATCAGACTCCTGTGCTTGCACACAGGACGCTGAGATACACAACTGATTTGGGGATCATCCCTGATTTGACATCAGCGTACACCTTTTGAGAAATGACCATGTTCTCCACGTGCAGCATGGAAAGATAGCTTCCAACTTCAGACCCTTGTCATATTTTGTTGCGTTAATGACCTGAAGGGCTCAGCACCGAGGCTGAACATCATGCCTGGGAGCCACCACAGTTTGATGGCGCTATCAGCGGGACTCAAAGAGGCTCTCCACGTTGGTAGCGTGCATTTATTAACCAACACAACAAACCACCACGTTGACAGAAGGACGTTAGCCACATAACTCGCATCGCCACGCTCCTAAGCCAAACACAACTCCTCGCCACCTCGAAGGCTCCCCACCACGGCAGACCCCATGCCTTGGGGCAGCACCAGGGGGACAACCCGGCCGTGCGGCTCAGCCCCCCTCCCCGCACCCTTCACCTTCCCGCTCCCTCCTTTTCCCTTGGGGGCCCAGCGGCTGCCCCAAAGGAGCCCACCCCACACCTTGTGGCCCCACAACGCTACCCCCTTTTGGGACCAGATGACCCTGGAGGTCTCTTCCGACCCGAACGACTGAGGACTCTAATTAGCAGAAGCCCCCCCCGTTCCCAGAGCCCCCCCATTCCCTGACACGACCCCCCCAGAAGCCACGGGCAGCCATCTCCCCTCAGCCCCTCGGTGCTCCAGGAGGGAGCACAAAATGGCCGCCCTCCCTCAGGGCCCCTCAGCCTCCGTCCTGGGGCTGCGCCGGGAGGGGGGGGGGGTAAGGCTGGGCCCCCTTTTGGGGTCTTCTTGACCAACAAAATGGAAATGTTGAAGGACTGGGGTGGAAAAGGGGCTTTTGTGGTTTTACAGCATGCGGGAACGTGCAAAATGTCAAGAAGTTGCATGGAAAAAGGAGGGATCACACCCCAGCCCCGTATGGAGAGAATAAAGTTTTAGTTTGGTATATTTTGTTTTGAGAGGATAAAGTTTTGAGAAGACATCCTTTTATTTCGGTCAAGATTGATTCTGGGAAAATCCAGCCTTTTCAGCCCAAAATCTCCCTTGGAGGTCAGAAAACCTCCTTAGACTGTGCCCGGAGCAGTTTAAAAGGTTTAGGGCTGCGCTTTCATGAGGCACTGCTCCAAATTACATGGAGAGATCTTTCCAACCTTCAAGATTTTAGAATTCCAGGCTCAAAAAAACTCGTTTAACATCCAAACACCACTTTATTAAACCCAGTCCTCCCTTTCCAGGACCCCAAAACCTCACTGCATGATTAAACCTCCTTTTTCACACCAAATCCCATTTCTCAGTGCGAGGGGACCCGGTTTTTAGGGTCCAAATCCTCATTTGTGGGTTTCAAAACCTTTTCTTTCAATTCTAAGCCCATTTCTGAGGGCTTAATGGGGAAACCCTGCACCCCATGGGGGGGATTCTGCTGCGTCAGGAGGCTTGGGGGAGATTGAGGGGTTTTGGGGTGTTCCGGGAGGCTGACGAGGCCGTGAGGTGGTGGGGCTGAGGCTGGGCCCGCATTTTGGGGTCCCGTATCCGGGTGGTGCCGTTGCCAGGGTCCCTTTGTGACGTGGGGGGGGTCCCTTTGTGACATAGGGGGGGTCCCTTTGTGACGTAGGGGGCGTCTCACTTTAAAAGCCGTGGCAGCGGCTCCGTGCCCTCATTGCCTGTCAGGACAGGGCAGGAGCGAGAAGGAGCGAGCCGGAGCGCCCTGAGAGCGTTGCTTGATCGCGTCCCTTCGCGCCCACCCCCCCTTGAGAGCCATGTCAGGCAAACCCCCCCGTCGGCCTCGCGTGGCCTGGGTGGACAGCTGGGCCACCCCCATCGACGAGTCCTCCTACATCACGCCCGAGGATGAGGAGGAGGAAGAGGTGGCGGTGCCGCGTGGCCGTGAGTGCAGGACCCCCTCCCTTTCACAAAGGCACCCGGCTCCCCCCCACCCCCCGGGGGGGTCGCCAGCACCCCCCCTGATCGCCCCCCTTGCTCTCTGCCCGCAGCCTTCGACGACCTGGAGGTGTACGTGCTGGAGGAGGAGGCCGTGCGCACCATCGACGAGTTCGTCAAGACCTGGATGGAGGTAAAAGCTGGGTGCTGGGGGGCTGTGTGTGGGGTGGGGGGGGTGCTCCCAGCTCTGGGGGCCCCCCCTGACCGCTGGGGGTTTGTGGCGTAGATCCCGCAGGGCGAGGAGCAGAAGATGAAGTTCCTGGAGAGCATCTGCAGCGTCTGCACCACCGCCCGCGAGTCGGGGCTGTCCGGCGGCTTCGCCGACTTCTGCAACCGCTGCAACTTGTGCAGACATCTGCAGGTGAGCTGGGGGGGGTGAGACAAGGCGGGGGGGCACCCGAGGGGACCGCCGCACCCTTGGGTGCCAGCTCCCACCCCCTCTCTCTCTCCCCCCGCAGCGGCTGATAGAGAAGGAGCCCCTGGACCAGCTGGAGACGGCGGTGCGGGAGCAGGCCATGCTGGCTGTCGCTGCCCTCAGGTAGGCGCAGGGCGCCAAGGGGGGGGATTTTGGGGATGGAGGGGGGATTTTGGGGTTGGGAGGGGGATTCTGGGGAGGGCCTGGCCCTGGGGGCCACGCCTCAGCCCCTCTGTGCCCCCCCCGCAGCTCGCTGCAGGTGATCTCTGAGGACAGCATGCAGCGGCTGCTCACCGCCTGCTTCAGGAGCGTCTTCATGCTGCCCCCCAAGGAGAAGCTCAGCGCGCACAACTTCGTCATGGTGGGTGCTGCGCCCCCTCCTCGTGCCCCCCCCCATGCAGGGTGTGTGTGTGGGGGTCCCCGGGGTCCTTCCCGGGGGCTCACCCGTTGGTTTCCCCCCCCCACAGACGATGCACGCCATGGACAGCATGCTGCAGCTGCTGCTGCTCAGCCCGCCCACCACCAGCTTCCCCTCCAAGCTGCAGAGCATCGTGAAGGTCTGGCCCGTGCCGGGGGGGCTTCTCCTCACCTGGGGGGGGTCTCCTCATCTGGGGAGGGTTCTCCTCACCTGGGGAGGTTGTCATCACCTGGGGGGGGTCTCATCACCTGGGGGCGGGTCTCCTTATCTGGGGGGTTCTCGTCACCTGGGGGGGGTCGCATCACCCCGGGGGGCTTCTCATCATCCTGAGGGTCTCCCCACCCCCCCAAGTTGCCCCCCTGCTTTCTGAGGGTCTCCCCAGCCCCCCAAGTTGCCCCCCTGCTTTCCAAGGGTCTCCCCAGCCCCCCGAGGGTCCCCCCCCCGACCCCCCAGCCCTCATCTCCCGTCGTGTCCCCGCAGGCACTGCTGCGTTTCTGCACCTCGACCAGCGCACTGCCCCGCTGCCGCGCCATGATGCGGCTCCACAAGATCGGCGACTTCCTGGGCAAGTGCTCCTCGCTGGAGGTCAGTGGCTTCTCCCCTTTCCCCGTGCCCCTCCCCGCAGCTCCGTGGCCCCCCCTGGCTGAGCTGTGTCCCCCCCTTTTCGCAGCCCTTCGGCAGGTACCTGCTGGAGCAGCAGTGCACGGACCTGATGCTGACCTGCCTGGAGGTGGTGTCACATGAGGTGCCTGAGGAGGACGAGCAGTGGGTCTCCTTCTTGCTGAACGCGGCGCGGGAGGACCCCATCAGCTGGTTTGCGTCGGTGAGTGCCCCCCCAAACCCTAAACGAGGCCGGGGAAGGAGAGGAGAGGCCACTTCTCACCCCCCGTGTGTGTGTGTGTTTGTCCTCTTTGCCGCCAGGTCCCGCACTTCGTCATCTTCTTCCGCAAGAAGCTGGTGGAGGAGCTGACGCCCGCCGTGCGCCAGAAGCTGCTGGAGGTGCTGGTCCTCATGACACGGTGCTATCCCCACTCCGTCACCATGTCCATACTCTTCATCTGCCCCTCAAGACTGAGGTACCGGCCCCCCAGCCTCCCGAAAACCCCACAGGGCCCCCGACACCCCGCAGGGCCCCTCAACAGCCCCTGTCTGTGCCCGCAGATCCTCAATGGAGATGTGGGAGGAGATTTTCAGCACGCCCGGCATGCCGAAGAAGCTCCTGAACGAGATTTGCATGCTGCTGCGCGACAATACCATACGTGCGCACTTTGGGATGACCGAGGACTACGAAATCCTCCAGCTCGGCCTCATGCAGACCCTGAGCCCCGAGGACCCCATCCCCACCGTGCTGCAGGACGTGGAGTGCCTGAAGAGATGCATCAGGAACACCAACTTCCACCTGCTCTGGATCGCACTCAAAGGGCTGGCGGCGATGCTGGAGAGGCCCAAGATGGTGAGCGCACCCCCCCCACACCCTCCCCCACACACCCTGCCCTTCCCCATCCCCATCCCCATCCCCGTCCCCATCCCCATCCCCATCCCCATCCCCATCCCCATCCCCATCCCCGGCGGCCTCCTCACGCCCTGGGCTCGCTGCTGTCATTGCAGGGGCTAACGGGGATTATCCTGCTGCCCGACGTCCTGAAAACCCTGCAGTTCGGCAACCCCCACATCACGGCGGCGGCGCTGGCGGTGTGCTGCAGGGTCCTGCGTGCCCTGATGAAGAAGTCAGCCAGCATCACTTCCCTGCGGCTGGTCGATCTGCTCACGCCTTACTTGGACAACGTAAGGGGGGGGGCGAGGCTCCTGCGGCACCCACCCCGTGCCACGGCTGGGCGGGCGAGGATCACTCAGCCTCCGTCCTCCTCTTCCTCTTCCAGGAGGCTGACATGGTGCGGGAGAATGCCATGAAGCTCTTCAGCGCGTGCATGGAGCGCGTGCTGTGGAAGCACCGCAGAAAGATGTGGAAGAAAGTGCACAACGTCCTGCTGACCCTCTACCTCCGCATGAGCGAGGAGAACCCGAGCGTGGCCAAGGTGAGTGGCGCCCATGGGGTGGGGGGGGGCTCGCGGCAGGGCCGGAGGCAGGCGGCGAGGAGCCGGCGCCAATTCCCTGCCTCCGCTGCCCCGCAGGCTGCCCAGGAAGCCCTGATGGCCGGGTCCGAGCTGCTGTGGTGGGACGAGCTGCAAGAAGTGGCACACATGAACCAGACCTGGAGGATCAGAGCCTGCCTGGTGAGGGCGGCCTCCGTGCTGAGGCTGGAAGGGGGGTGGCCGGGGGGAAAGGAACGAGGCCGGGGGAGGCTGACGGAGCCCCGCGGCCTCTCCAGCTTCAGCAGGACCGAAAACGGGTGGAGGAGCGTCTGCAGAGGTGCCGGGCCTACCTGTCGGACCCCCAGGCGTCGGTGCGCAAGGAGGCTGTCAGATTCATCGGTGAGCTGCCCCCCGCCTGTCCCCCCCTGCCCCCAGAATGGCCCCGGGGCCTCCCCTTGCCCTCCCTGGGGCGGAGGCTGACGGGCGGCTTCTGATCCTAGGGATCGCGGCAGAACATCACCGGGACCAGAGTGAAGAGAAAGTGTACGAAATAATTGCAAGTGAGTGAGGGGGGACGGGGTGGAGGCCAGGCCTCGGGGAGGCTGGGGGGGGGTGCTCACAGCAGCTCTCCCTGCCTTCCTCCCGGCCAGGGGGCTCCTGGAGGGGTCTCCCCCGGCCCAAGCAGAGGCTGCAGCCTCTTTCTGTCCTCCCGCAGTCCTGGAGCCCATGAAGAATGACGCAGAGCCCTCGGTGCGTGAAGAGACCGCCCGCACCATCCGGACTGTGAGGCAGCATCTCCACTGGCTGCAACGCCCGCGGGATCCGTGGTACATGCTGGCGGTGCACTGCTGCTTGCCTCGAAGATTGTGACAGGCGCCGAAGCAGAAGCCAGAGCCAGAGCCCGAGCCCCAGAAGAATCCGGAAGAAACTTCAGAATCTGAAGACTCCTCCCTGGATTCATCTCCGTGCCAGAGCACGGACAGCTAGCGGGCCTCCAGCCCACAGGGGTTTTGGATGCCTCCAGGAAAGGAGCCTCCAGAACCCCCCCCCACCACCACAAAGAAATTAAAGAAATTCCATCTGTTTATCCAGAGCCTCCTGGGGTCACTCCTCAGCGTCCTCCACAGCCCCCGGCATCCTCCCAGCTCCGCACCCGCCTCCCTCGAGCAGCTCCCGTCCTCCCGGAGCTCAGGGCCCAGACCGGGACGCCATATCCCCCTCACAGCCCCACAGGGGCAGAGTAGAGGAGGACAAGGACCTCTCCCCACCTCCTGAGCACCCCCAGGAGGAGGAAGGCCCCGCCGCTCTCCTTCCTCACCTTGCTGCCTGCTGGGACGCTGTGAGCTCGGGAGGAGCCATCCCCGAATCCCTCCCGACTCCCCCGACCCCCTTGTCCTTCGAGCGCCTCGTCCCACAGCCTTGCGTTCACGGCCCCCATCCTTCAACTCCGTCCCAGGACGTGGTCAGGGAGTCTCAGGGAGCCAGGAGGTCTCCCCGGAGCCTTCTCCAGACCAAACAAAGCCCGGTTCCCTCGGCCGCTCCTCACAGGACATGTTCCAGAACCTTCCCCGGCTCTGTTGCCCTGCTCTGGGCATGCTGCGGGGGCTCCATGTCCTTCTGGGAGCGAGGGGCCCAAAGCTGAACGCAGTGCTCCGAGGCAGGACGCGGTGTCACCTGCAAACCTCCTGAGGGCAATTCCCTCAATTCCCTCATCCAAACAATTAATGAAGATCTTAACGAGGACGGGCCCCAGCACTGGGCAAACACCACTGCCGACCAGCTCAATTTCACCACCGCTCTCTGGGCCTGGCCACCTGGCCAGTTTTGAACCACATTTTGAAAGAAAAACATGCTTTTTTTTGGTGAAGCGGGTACTTGTCACAGCCCTGGGCTGCAGCTTCTCCAGGAGAATACTGGGGCAGGCCGCACCAAAGGCTAAGCAGAGGGCATCAGCAGCCCTTCCCTCAGCCAGCAGGGACACGGATTGGACTAGATGATCTTCTGAGGCCCCTCCCGATCCCCCAAATTCTGTCATTCTGTGACATTTTGCCATTCTGTGTCAGTCGGTGGCAGCCGGGCCCTGGCGGCTCCATCAGCTGCCTCAAGCGGCCTCGCTGCAGGAAAAGCCCCGCACGCCTCGATCCCCCGCTCTGCGGCATTACACAACTGCCTGGGAGGGTAATTGGGGTGGGGAGAGGGTAATTAAGGGGGTGCTAATTGGGGGGGGGGCGGTATTTAATTTATTCTCGCCTCACAAAAATAAGATTTAGTAATCTCTCCACAAATATCCCTTTTACATCCCAAGCCAAAATAGTAACACCATTAAAACACGATGATTTTACATTAACTTCAAATAAGCTAAAGACTTTCAACACCTCACCAGCACCAGCTTGGATTCACTAATTTTTCCCTGTTGGTTCCCTGGGATTTCAATAACAGAAGTCCCACTGATTAAAGTTTTCAGGTTTATATTAAATTACAATGCAGCTCTACCCTTATATCCAAAAATATAAAATTAGAATTACTTATATTGCAGTTCAGGATCCTATAAGAACAAAATTCTCAGAATTTAAGAATTGATAGTTTTGTCATAAGCAAAGAAAGCAAAGACAAGAAAAGGCCATTAAGAAAAGGAAAGATATAAAGCTTTGGTAGCTGTGGAATTTCTTCTTATTCAACAGGAAATATGACAAATGTAAGCAGTCAAAAAGAAGGGGCCAAGAATATTTTTATCATACATGTCACAATCAGAGCACCAAGTGAACCTATTGGTAGAAGTGCTATCTAGGGCATAAAGTCAGTAACAAAGAGAAAAGCACCCAAGTGCTTTTTACTGAAACACTCTTATCCTGATGTCAGATTGCTGGGAAGATGCTTGCTCACTTGTTGGGAACTATGTTGAGTTGTACCCAAATATTGTACTGAAACTGACACTCAAGGAGGAAAGCAAGCTTGGAAATTACTTAAGCTTCACCATTTCAAACACTGTTAGACTGATACTGTTTAGGTGGTTGAATCCAGTATCCCCACAAAGTCCTCAGTTGTCTACTCCAACAGATCGGCATTGTCTGCATTTCTACAGCTACCACTACAGTTGGTGCTCAGATTTCTTCTGAAAGTAAATAAGCGTTACTTAAGTTGAAAAGTTAAACCTAAATTTCTCTCTTACCATTTCACTTTGCAGCATCAGGCAAATTCTTTAACTCTCAGTCAAGACAATATTTGAATGATAATATACTTGCAAAAAATATGTATTCCCTACTGTTTAAAGGCAGATTAAATCTACGTCAAGTCCCTGCCATAAAAGGACTGTCTCCCAGGGAATAAATTTGTGCACTTGCCCCATGCACACGCTCATACCAAAGAGATACAGAGCTTGAATATACTTTAAAAAAACAATATCTTAATAGAAATAACTGGAAAAGGAAACCTGTATTTCATCTTCCATTAAATTTTCCATATCTAAAAAGCATTGAAAAAGAATTTATTATATTTATATACATATATATATGTATATATATTTTTTTTTTTACCTTTGCATTGCTCTGGTCCTGTGAAGGCACACAGCCTCTATTTTCTGGTACATTCATTATGCCAGTAATAAATTCTGGCAGTTGAACCTTTAATAAAAAGAATTGAATAAATTTAAATACAAAGATGACTGAAACACAAAAGTAGTACTAACACCAAGTAAAGCTACGATTTTCTCCAGCTTGCTAATGTTTTGAACACCAAAAGCTACTTTTTCTTTAGTCTTTAGAAATACAACTGTTCTAAGAGAGAAATGACATGTAAGACTCAAATTAACTCAGGACAACCTTTACAGTTACTGCCCTAAAAGCAGCTGCCTTTTTTTTTTTTTTAAAAAAAAAATGGCCTCATGTGTAGTGTTTTTTATTAAAAAAAAAAAAAAAAAAGTTAAGAAAAGCAATTGCATCTTCCTGAATTTTAGTCCTCCTTTATGTCTTTTGTAGAACTGTTTGAGTGCAGATTCTCTAAACTTAAGTAGGCAAGTTTGTTACAAGCATACCTGTCAGACTCATACAACAATTTAGGTTAGAAGGGATCTTTTGAGATCACCTAGTCCAGTTACTTGCTTGAAGCAAGACAAGTTAGACCAAGTTGCTCAGTGATGTCTTATCCCTACAAGACATATCCCTTACCCCAAGCCAAGGTTAATATCTCTAAAGGCAAGATTCCACATCTTCTCCGGGCAACCTGTTCCAGTATTTGACTACTTTTTCATGGACACAGCTTTATTCCCAACTCAGGAGGAAGAGTTACTCCAAGCAATTGAAATATCCTGTCCTTTACTGACTAATTTTTCCTCTAATAATGCATGTTACCTTCCTGCAAGCAGACAGATAACTCCTCTCTGTAATTTTTGTTACAAGCTCGAAATAGGTGCAGCTAATTCCAATGTTTACTATTTTTTCATTATAAGTTTCCTTTGTCTTTTAATCTTCCCATGCTCTAGAGAGCACAGAATCAAATACAATCACGTGGCATGCTTGTATTTTAAACTTCCTTTAATTGCTACTAATACACAACCATCAGACCCAGCAACACGGGTTCAGGAAAGTCCATCTCACTAATTTGATATCCTTTTATGATAAGATCACACTCTTAGTAGAGGAAGGGAAAGCAGTGGATGTAGTTTTCCTGGATTTTCACATGGTTTTTGATTTTGTCCCTCATGGTCCTTCTAGACAGATTGCCTAACTGTGAGGAAAACAGACTCACAGTAGGACATTTGGACTCAATTTTTGCAGGTCCCTTCCAACTGCATCCATCTTATTCTGATCTTTGTTACCAGATCAAAATATACAACCAAATTTTTGTTATTTCCATAGTCAGACTGCAAGATGTACTACAATTTCTCTAGCCTGGAGCATGGCCTCATGTGTAGCGTTATAACATCTGAAGCACAAGAAACTGCAACAGATGCTTGACTGAGTAGCTGAAGTGGAACCTCTTGCGGTCTCTGGAAAAATCTAACATGAAGATACATGAAGAATATGGAGATCTTTTTTTGCCATTAAGAGCGAGGTATTTTTCAAAATGAAAACCAAAACTATTTGGACTGCCTATCAACATATATCCAAAACTCCATGACACATTAATCACTAAGCTTTGATCCATCTACATCAAGTCTCTACAATTCAGTTTTCAGTTCTGTTTGTGAGAAAGAACAAGATACTCAGTGGAGCTGTGATCTACCCATCCAGCAAGACAGCAGAAATATGCAATTTTTGAATGGATCTAAGATCTCTTAAAGATTTAATAATTTAAAGTCATCTGTTCCTCCAGAGAAAAGGAAAGTCATTTGTGACTAATTCAAGACTTCCGTATATATTTTAGATGCACTGTAAATCCATAACTGGAATCAGAAATATGGTAAAACAGAGATCAAACAAACAAAATACTTACAGGGGCTATGCTTTCCTCTTCAGATACAAGTGCAAGAGCATAGCACTTCTGACATATATCTATGATATCTAACATATTGCTGCTTGCTAAGAAGGTATCTGTTAGAGGATGCACGGCCGAAAGCACGACAGACACCAGTAGAGTCAGATCATGCTGCTCCCATTTATTGCCCGAATAGCCTCGCTTTTATAGTGAACTTAACAGGGGCGGATAGTGTCTCACACAAGATTATTGGTCAAAAGCACTCGGACAAACAACTACAAGAAAACAACCCCACCGGCAAGAAAACAACCCCCTTGTGATTAGCAGTCACATAGACCTTGTCCTTGAAGCCAGCTACTGGTAACAATATTTTTCTGAATTCCTCAATTGGGCGATGTGGGAACACTGTCATGGGAACTTCTCATAGTTGCCCTGGTAGCTTGGTTTGCTCAGCTACAGCAGGCCATGAGATTTTCTAAGGCCTACTCCTGGTTGCTTAAGGCAAGCTCAGATCGAACAATTGTTCCACGGACTCACGTCCACGCCCTGTATGCCAATTCCCAATTCCCAACAGGTATCATAGGCTTTTTTAACGTCAGCATAATTTTCTGGCTTTTCCATGTTTTCATGTGATAATCCTAGTTTGTCATGTAACAAATATTTCCAAGTTTCCATCACATCATTAAGTAATACCGTGAAATCTCCGTGGTGCTAATAGGACAGAAAAAACAAACAAACAAACAATGTTTTATGTTCAGCATAGCTTTAAAAGTTACTTTAAAACAAGATACATATATATATATCTTACAGAACAAAATTATAAAGTAAATATTTGCATTTGTAACGAACAAAGTAGTACTTATAATTGAAGTTATTCCGGTGCTTTGGTCTTAGAGCTAACTTTTTGAAATAAAGTCCTTTATCCTGATCTTTAAAATGCCAGGCATATATTTTGAACTTTACTCATAAGAAAATAAATTGATTTTCACAGGACTACTGCATAAATACAGTTAATTATTTGCAGAAATAGCGTTCATCACAGCAGACATTTACCTTCCAAAAGCAGTAAATAATATTAACATGCTTCAAGTAGTGATCTGGGAAAACATACACCATCTCCCAACCAAAAATAAACATTTTTCCCCCCTCCCACGTTAATAGTTTACTATAATGTTGATAGCACTGCTACACAGATCTAACAAATGCATTAAAGCAACACACACCTAATTATATCCATATATCCCTTACTAGTATCATAAATAACATCAACCATATGACACTATCTTACACCCACCTTTGGGCCCACACTCCCTTACAGAATGATTAGATTACATTCCCATGCACCCATCTGCCTCCTTCCCTTTAGTCCTTCCCTCCCCCCCCCCAAATGAAAGAGAATTATAACTTGACAGTCAATTAGAAGATTTAATAGCAATTAATAGAGTTAAAGTGCAAATAAAGTAGGCAAAAAAATGACATAATGTGGGTAGCACAATAACTACCAGCATGTTTTCAGCAACTGAAGAATCTTTCCCTATTCTAGGCAAAAAATAAAATTTATTTTATTTTTTTTCTTGGATACATTACATTACTTGGATACAAAAAATAAAATTTATTTTATTTTTTGTATCCAAGTAATGTAATGTATCCAAGTAATGTAAGAGGCTGGTTTCACAGCTGCAGTCCCTTTCCTTTTTCTACTCTCGAGAGAAGAGCACTCCGTTGACCTTTGATAGACAGAAACAGAAAATACATCAAGAGGAAGGACTAAAATCACATTTGATTTATCCATCAGTTACTTTCCCCCTCCCCTCCCCCCAAAGGATTTACATCAAAATAAGGTCATCTGCTATAAATGCATTTATAAATAGGGGTGCGTCCAATAATGATCCCTAAGCACTTCTGAGATGTGCAAACGCTTGACTGTAAAGCAATAGCTTGCAGTTTTATTATGCAGAAGCCAAAAGGGAAAATATAGAAAATGCTTCTTATTAAGTCTTTACACGGAAGAACCAAAGAGACTAAAAATAAAAGACTAAACATGGGATTATGGACCGCATACAATCTTGTAAATAAGTGGAAAACTTAAGGACCAAAGTTGTTAGCAAAGGTGCCATAGTCGGGGTTTACAAGAACAACAGCAGGGCACAAGTGAAAAGCAAAAAGGTAAAAGTCACAGAAGGCAGGAACAAATAAGGATGGAATTCACAGTTCTAAATCAAAAAGAGTAAGTGACACATCCCTCTTATTTGAGTAAAACTGAATGAGGTCTTAACTGGATTGCAGCCTACAACCTTCATTGTCAGCAAGAAGACGGGAGAGTTTAGGAAATGCTGCACTTGGGTACAGTATATAACACTACTTAGAGGATCTCTTATTTAAAGGAGATGAGTATTGTCAGTGGTTAAAGACTGCAATAATGAGGAAGCCATAAAATAAGTTCAATCCCTTTAAGCAAAACTACATTCACAAAGAATTACAGTCAGAACCTGACTGTAAGTTAAAATACATAGCAAAGGCTTCTGCTACTCATCTGCCCCCCCCCCCCCCCCATCACAAGAAGGGCATAGACCTATTACAATGAGTCCAGAGGAAGGCCACAAAGACAATCAAGGGGTTGGAGCACCTCACCCACAAAGACAGGGTGTGGGAGTTGAGACTGTTCAGAAGAGAAGGCTCCAGAGACCTTAAGGGGTCCTACAGCAAAGCTGGGGAGGGACTCTATCAGACAATGTAGGGATAAGACAAGGGGGAATGGCTTTACACCAAAAGAGGGTCGATTTAGATTAGACCTTAGGAAGACATTCTTTGCTGTGAGGGTGGTGAGGCACTGGAACAGGCTGTCCAGAGAAGCTGTGGATGCCCCATCCCTGGAAATGTTCCAGGCTGGGTTGGATGGGGCTTTGGACAACTGGGCTGGTGGGAGGTATCCCTGCCTGCTGCCAGGGGAAGTTGGAAATAAATGGCCTTTAAGGTCTCTTCCAACACAAACCATTCTATGATATGAACTCTTTCCACTTCAGCCCCTCCAAAAATTAAATATATAATATTATAAGCACAACTCAAAGAGATTAGCAGTTGGTCAGAGAAAAAAAAGAGTCTCATTTTAGCTTGGTACTTGTGGAAGAATTTGTTTCAAAACAAAGTAGAACTTCAGTATAGTATTTAGTAAACCAAAGCCATTCCTTGCAAGACAAAGGACATGCAGAGATTAGCAAAGTTGAAAATATTTTTGCAGCACTAATATAAGTAAAATTGCACTCCAGGTATTAACTTTCACGATCAGGTGCTCACTGTGGCAGTGTATGCTATTACTTACACAGTCAATTGTCGCAAGTCCGATGTTAAATGAAAAAATAAGTGCGTGATGGTTTCCAACAAGCATATGCCAGCTAACTAATGTCTAAAGGAAGTTCAAAAAGTTCTGGACTTTCATTCCATGATAGACATTGCAAATATTGTGTTGCATGGGCATAGAAAAAACATGTTATAAAGCATCTTCACTTCCTGTGCTTCTTGATAATGTAGCACATTAAATCTCCTTGGACTCCTATTTTAGCATGTTTGAAATCCAGTAGCAACATTTCATGCCTAAATACACCTTTTTAGTATCGCCTAGGTATTGTGAACTTTCTAGGGCTAACTACATAGCAAAGCCATTTCTATTTTGCCATAGAGTTGTTAAAAAAAAAACAAACAAACACAAACATGATGCATATTCCAGCAATACTATGGTCTCTCCTACCTTCCCTAAATTAATGGTCATTAACCACTTTTCAAACATGTGCTTTCAAGGTTGCTGTGTTTAACCACCATCTCTAATTCTTGTTTTTCAGGCATACTCCTAGATTGCAGTATTCCTGTCCGGCACTCTTCCTGATTTGTGAGATTCTGCAATCTGGCAGTCTCCAACCCTCCACTGAGCTTTTAGTGCTTGCATGTGCTCTCTTCTAAGAGGGAGGCTCCCAAACTGTGGCCTATAAAGCACATTATGCAATATAAAGCAACACTTCAAATGGGTTTCCTATTCCAGGAAATGTTGATAGGGCTGCATGCAGATTTAGAAACCCATCCGTGTAAGAGCAAATCTAGAGACATAAGCATCTGATAGCTGTGACATTGAAGTCTGGCAGAAGCAAAGGCAATGAACTTTCAGGCCAAGATCCCAGGCTTAGAAAAGCCAGTATAACTTGCACAGCTAATGGTTTGGGACTGCACAATGTTTTAGAGGGTAGTCCTCAGTACAAGAGGCACACTGACATACTGAAGAGACCCCAGTGATGAGCCACAAAGATGATCAAAGCACCCCTCCTCTGAAGAGGGGCTGAGAGAGCCAGGGCTGTTCAGCCCTGAGAAGAGAAGGCTCAGCAGGGAATGTGTCAATGAGTACAAAGAGCTGAACAGAGGCTGCAAGGAAGGGAGCCAGGCTCCTTGCAGTAGTGCCCCACTGACATGAGAAGATATAACAGGCACAAACACAGGAGGGTCCATCTGATCATCAGGAAAGTCTGTGAGGGTCACTGAGCTCTGGCACAGCTTGCCTATAAAGGCTGGTATAAATGGCTCAGGATTCAAATTAGGATTAAATAAAAAAATAGGATTTATTAAAAGAATATAAAGGAATACCTCTATCGGTGGGATAAGAACATCCCAAATGCTACTTACCTCACTCTGCTCTACAGAGAATGAGAAACCCTCAGCAGAAATACACTGAAGTTGCACAAGCAAACAAAACACACTAGTATTTAAAGCTGAAGACTCGCATACATACTTAAAACACTTCTATCCTCAGCTTGATTTAAGTTATGAAAGCTTTATTTAAGTCATGAAAGTGATCAGTTAGTTAACTTTTAACCTATTCTCCTTGTCTTATCATTACACTCCTTGATGAACAGTCCCTCCTTCTCTTTCTTGCAGGCCCCCTCCAGGGGAGTGAAGTTGCTTTATTTTACCCCATTTTACTTTGACATGAGCAAAAAGCAGGAGCCATCGCAAACAAAACTGTTGGATAGGTCCAAATCAGCCTAGGGCAGGCATAACAATCTCTCGAGAAGGGGTTGCTACCCCCTCACTCTCCTCAGCGGGAGATGCTTCTGAGGAACAATACAAGTCACTGGGAGCCAGCACCCACCCTAAGAACCCCAAAAAGCCCGCAGGACAAGCCCTGGACCCTATACCCGGCATTACGAGCCGGCATCGCCGCCAGCACCCGGGACCCACCCCGAGCTCCGAGGGTCCCCCCGCTTCCCCACCGCCCGGCTCCCCGGGCACGCCGCGAGGCCCCAGCGGGCTGAGGCTGCCCCCGCTCACCCAGCTCCGGCCGTCGGGAGGCCGCGGCTGCCGGCAGGGCTCCGGTCCTTTCCGGCGCTTTGAATTGAAATCCTCCGCTGCCGCCCAATTAGGGAGCGCAGGGCCGCTGCCCCGGACGGACAGGGGGTGGCCCGGGGCTGGGAGGCGCTGCCGGGAAGCGCGGCCGTGCGGGGCCGGAGAGGTGCGTGGGGAGGGCCCGGGGGAGCCGCAGAGGGCTCGGGGCTTTCCCCCGGGCCCGAGCAGGAGCGGGGCTGCGCCGGGGGTTGGGCCCGGGCCCGGGCCCTTGCTGGTAGCGTTGTGGGGCCGCACGGTGTGGGGTGGGCTCCTTTGGGGCAGCCGCTGGGCCCCCAAGGGAAAAGGAGGGAGCGGGAAGGTGAAGGGTGCGGGGAGGGGGGCTGAGCCGCACGGCCGGGTTGTCCCCCTGGTGCTGCCCCAAGGCAGGGGGTCTGCCGTGGTGGGGAGCCTTCGAGGTGGCGAGGAGTTGTGTTTGGCCTTAGGAGCGTGGCGATGCGAGTTATGTGGCTAACGTCCTTCTGTCAACGTGGTGGTTTGTTGTGTTGGTTAATAAATGCACGCTACCAACGTGGAGAGCCTCTTTGAGTCCCGCTGATAGCGCCATCAAACTGTGGTGGCTCCCAGGCATGATGTTCAGCCTCGGTGCTGAGCCCTTCAGGTCATTAACGCAACAAAATATGACAAGGGTCTGAAGTTGGAAGCTATCTTTCCATGCTGCACGTGGAGAACATGGTCATTTCTCAAAAGGTGTACGCTGATGTCAAATCAGGGATGATCCCCAAATCAGTTGTGTGCAAGCACAGGAGTCTGATTTTCTTGGAAAGTGCTTGAATGGAGTAAAGCATTAATGTTTCGGTATACTTTTGATCCAGTTGAAAATGAACTTTTTCTGTGCAAGTACAGAGGCATAGAGGCACTGTCTGCAGTTGGGCTGGCTTATGCCATGAGACAAGTAATGTGCAGAATCGTGTTTGCATTTAGAGTTTGGTGGTTTTAATTCTGCTTTTAGTTAGATACCGATTGTCCTTTAAAGAGGTACACCAGGGAAGAGAATTTGAAGGTAATAATAGATATGTTGTTGTCATTTGGTTGAAATTTTTAAAATTACGTGGGTGACTTTTCTGGTACGTCGAGTTACTTAATCCCATGTCTTGATAGGTTGCCATCAGTAGCACAAAACCTGCAGTTGTTACTGATGTCTGTAGAAAAAGTTTTGAATGCCTGTTAGTGAATTAGGTCAGTTAGGTTAGTTAATCTCTTGATAGTTGGAATTAGGTGTTAAATCTGGATCTAATGAGCTTAAGTTGACCTTTTGTGTCCATAAATATGGTGTTACAAGAAATCTTGAGTTGTTGCGCCACAAATACTTTTTTTTTCTTTATGCAAATACACAATGCATGCTTTTTAATACTTTCCCTATAGGAACATTGACCTCCATCCTGAAGAAGACATCACTTCCACGATACTTTGACATAGTCCCCTGGAAATGAAGCAAGATTCTACTAGAAATGCTGCTTACATTGTGGACTGTGAAGATTATGTGCATGTGATAAAATTCAATCCATTTAATAGTGGAGATGCATGTTCCCCCATTGCATGTGGTGGCAATAACTATGTAGTTGCAGGGACACGTAGATTTCAGGTTACTTTTTGTTTATTGCTTTTATTAGTTGCTTCATGAAACTGACAGCATGTCTTCTGACAAAGACTAAAGTCACTTTCCTGCGTCTTTCCTTCCCCATTTTGCCAGGAAGTGTTTTACTCCTTTATTGTTGAGGGATTTCTTGAAACAGCAAAAATCCCATGGCTTGCTGTAGCTGAGCAAACCAAGCTACCAGGGCAACTATGAGAAGTTCCCATGACAGTGTTCCCACATCGCCCAATTGAGGAACTCAGAAAAATATTGTTACCAGTAGCTGGCTTCAAGGACAAGGTCTATGTGACTGCTAATCACAAGGGGGTTGTTTTCTTGCAGGTGGGGTTGTTTTCTTGCAGTTGTTTGTCTGAGTGCTTTTGACCAATAATCTTGTGTGAAACACTGTCCACCCCTGTTAAGTTCTCTATAAAAGTTAGGCTATTCGGGCAATAAAATGGAGCATGATCTGACTCTACTGTGTGTCTGTCGTGCTTTCGGCCGTGCTTCCTGCAACACTTTATTACATTAATGACTTTGGGATATTTGGTCTTAAAGAGAAAAAAATGTGTATATAAATACATATTGGTATTAGCATCCTGCTGGTGTAAAGTTCTTTTTGAGTAGGCTGCAATGAAAACAGGAGTGCTCTACTGGAAGAATAATCCCAGTTCAGTATTTCTTGCAAATGTTTGTGACTACTACCTGGGAACTTAAGCAGGTAGCTTTGGAAATATGTAACTTAACATTTGCTGTATGGTGTTTTATTTTTTTAAGTCTTTCAGGTAGCTATCAAAGCAGCAAAGATTTCAAATACCCAAAATAAGAAAGGGATAATTAAAATTTCCAAAGTAAGTTTAGAGACATTTCTTTCTAGGAAGGACAGTGGCAAATAGTTACTTAATATACATCTGCTTTCTAGGTTATTATTTTACATCTCTCTCACAGACTGTTAGAAACAGTAAAATATGTTTTTTACCTTGACATTATTTCCAGTCACAATATCGTGAAAATTTTTAAAAAGTAAAATAGCGTACTGTGTATATTTTTAAGTAATACTTTTTTTTTTTTTTTTTTTTTTTTATGAGGCACTTTTTTTTTTCCCTGGATACTTGAAAATCGATAGTAGAACACTCTCATCTTTGGAATCTATTTTTACTTTTTTTATCTTGAGCTCACTTCTCTTTTACATGGTACTATTTTTATACTTTACTATCTAATACAGAAAACAGTATAACTGGTCTTTATTATTCCCCAAAGTCTTAGTGTTGGAAATTTTCTGAAAATCACCCAGGTCCTTCCTAGCTTCTACATTATGCAGAGTGTATACAGAAAGATTTTTTTTCCTTAAAGCAGAATTGTGCCATAGAGAACATTTCATCAAAATAGCCTTCCTATATTTTGAGGTAGTACGCTGGATGTTTTGAGAACTTTTTGGAGATCAGTTGATTCATTAAGTCCACAATCCCAGCAATTGTTTCATCTTTGTCACCATCCAGTTCCCTCACTATTCGGAAGAATAGCCAAGGTAGTAATTTTGGTCATGTTAAATGATGAAGGGTACCTTTCTACCTGCTGCTGTTCTTCCAGTCCAACCAGGTTGTTCTAGCATTTTTCCATAAAGTAAACTCAACTGGGAGAGAGGATAGCCTACATGGCCTCCTTGCTTTTGTTCCCATTATTTCGCATTGCAGTGTGTGCTTATCATGCTCTATCATGTCAGTGGTTCTGGTTGTATCTATGCTGATATTGAGCCCAAAGAATGGGCTCAGCATGTTCCTCTTGCAAATCTTCTTTTTGTGCAATGTAGGTTTGTTTCTGCATTTCAGTCAGCAGAACGCTGAGGACCAGAGCTGATGCAATAGCTGCAAGGCAGGTGCGTGGAGAAAATGGGAATTTGGAGCCGAAGCTGCAGACTTTGAGGAAGTCGCTACCGTACTACAAATCCATCCTTTCTGTTTGATAACCTTATAAGAAAGTAAGTCACCTGTTCTTGCAAAGCTACTCAAATGATCTTTCTTAGCAAGCCTTTGTGCTATGGTATGATATTGGCCTCGACTCGCGCTTTCTTTTGCCAACAGAGAGGTATTGTCAGTCCTGGCATTGGGAGTTGAGTATATTCGGGGGTAGGCTGAGACTTCCTTAGGTGCACCCGTGCATGCGATGCGTTGCTACTGGTAACTACTGGCCACCAGTGACCGTTAGTGGTCATGTGTCACAGGCTTTCGGAATGTTTGGTCCGAGCACTGCAGTGCCTAGCAGTTTTCGTGGTTGGTGAGCGTGAGTGATGCTCTCTTCGTCGCTCTACAAACAGTCAGCTCTTTCCTTGGCCTCCACGGGTATGTCCTGCTGTCCTTGTTAATAGATGGATTCCTTGAAGTTGTGGTCCTTTGTAGCTTATTGCCCCACTGTTGAAGCTGACTTTTTTGGGATTGGGTAGTCATGGCTGGTTATGTCTGGCTGGCCTGAGAGGGTGTGGGAGAGGATGAACTTGGCAGGTGCTTCATGTCTAAAGAATTTGGGCCCAATTGGTTTAATTTCCGCTGAGGTTGTAGCTGTGGGATTGCCGTTTGATGAGGGATCTTCATCCTGAGCATCTTTTCTATGTGGGCCTAGTGGGTTTCTGGGTTGTCTTCTGAACCAAAACGCTTACTTTCCCTGTGACTTTCATTAGATTTAACCTTCCCCGCTCCATTTTTAAATTCATATAGGAAGCTTGCGTCCCGAACCTGTAATTGAATTAAGTTCGGACCCCTCCCCTACCCCCTTTTTTTTCTTGTTTGTTCATTTTTTATGGTAGCCAAAACGCTGTAGCAAGTACTGGTACGATTTGTTTCCAAATCATAAACTTCAGGTGATTTGAAAGGATCATTGAAAAGAATACTCCAACCCTGCTATCAGCACCCGGTGTGTGTTAATGCACCTACTTTTTATGTCTTAAAATGAATCTTGTCCTTAAATGCTTTTCCTTTCTGACTACTCATGGAAGAAAGTCATATGGAATGGAAAAAAATGTACCTAACTTGCAAGTATAATCTATGTTTTTCTACTAGTGCCATTGTCTCAACACTTCTGGATGGCATAGACAACAGAGGGGAGATTGTGGTAATCGGAGCCACCAACAGACCAGGTTCTATAGATCCTGCTTTACGGAGACCAGGACGCTTTGACAGAGAGTTCCTCTTCAACTTGCGAAATAAAGAGGTGAGAACTTCATTTCAGTGTTAATGCTAATGTGGCAAAGTCCAACTTTCTAGGAAAAAAAAATTACAACGTGAATAAAAGAGTGATATGTGGAGACACTGTGTCGTCCCGTGGAGGGCAAGTCTGGTACTGGATATATATGGTCAAGATGATAGCATCAAGTAGTTAGTTCTAGAATCAACTCTTTGATTCCCAAGTTTGCTTAATTAATTAATCCGCGTAGGCGCTTTCATCTTGACATTGTGTTCTTGGTCTCAGTACTCCTGTATGAATGGATAGGGGATGTATTTGCATTTGATTGTTTCCCGGATCAAAGGTAGTAGTTTGAGTCATAATTATTTTCTTCTTTCTAGTAATTGTAGCAGCTTGAAACATAGTGCTCGAAGTGCTTTCTGCAAATTTACTGACTGAAAAGCAGATTTGATGAACTAATGAGACTGCCACAACGCAAGTTTGCTCAATTTTTGAGAATTTTTTGGAGAAAAAAAGATCTGTTTCTGGATCAATTTTTCATTACAGTATTTTACTCTGGGTCATTAGGTCTCATATCTTGGAAGCTTATTGCAGAAGCTATAAATGCCTTTTCTTTCATTGCAGGTTCCTAGAAAAAGTTTGGTGTAACAAATTAAGAAATACTGGATTTCCAGGTTGAAAATGCAGAGTGTATATTACATAACTGTACAATACTGGAAAGTTTTGCAAATAAGAAAAGTGTATTACTATATGAGGGGTTTTGAGGCCCCTTCAGAAAGAAGGGGCCTTATTTTAATAGCTATTCATCAGCTACAGAATTTGTTCCTCATTTTCTTTATTCTAAGGGGGGAAAAAAATCACCAACAGAGTAGCGTACCTTATACATACACATCAATGGGACCTAAGACAGCTTTATAGAGACTTGTGCCGTCTCCTTAGATCTGTGGTGGGATGAACTGTAGGAAATAGCATTCAGTGTGTGCCCTCAAATGAAGAAAGGGTTTTGGCACAGTTTAGAAGCTGTCTTAATGGAAGAGAAAGAGGCACAGGCTATTCAGGAAAGTTAAGAAACCTCTTTTGTCTTTCAGGAAATGTAAATCCTATTTTACAAGCTGATATACTTGACAGTGATGCCGACACATCCTTAATGTCTGGAGATGAACTACCAGGTAAAATGCCTGACAGACCAGAGGAAAAGTTCCTCTGTTTCAGCAGGCAAAGAAAGATGGGTCCCCATTATGTTTACATTGTCAGGACTGCTGAGTCTTTGTAAACAGTTTCAGCTGTTAGAAGTGTGAGGGGTGGCAGATGAAAGGGGAACATCAAGTTTGTGTGTTGAAGGGGTGCTCACTATTCTCAAGAAGAAAGTGAAGGGACTAAAGTTCTAATGAAGTGGGTTGCTCTAAATGATCCAAGTGAAAAGCCCAGGCTTCTCCTCCTAAGCCAAAGTGATCCACAGACTACTAGAAAAATCCATGGCATTCTTTGAAAGACTCAAGACCACATAAATGTGCCGTCTGTCCTTTTAGCTAAAAATAACCAACTTCCTGGGTTTGTGTTGCCACCTTTTGCCCTTCTGTTACCCAGGACTGTTAAAACGAGTAGCGAACTCTGTAGCAGAAAGCAAACTGAGAAATGGCTTGTTAAAACACCTGGAGAAAAATTCAAAGTGTTTTTATTTGTTACCATTAAACCACCAAATTGTGTTATCTTTTGGTATTTTAATGTGGAAGTCACGTAAGCCCACGGTTGGAAAGTTAGATTATGTTGTCACAGTCGGGTCAGTTATTTTTCTCACTTCCTGTTGCTGTGCTGTCCAGAAAATGTGCTGACCCTTTGAGCAAGGTTAACTCTCTAGCATCTTGGATTTAAGCCAGTAAAGGTACAACCTTAGTGTAGTGGGAAAAAAGCAAATGCTTCTTGGGAATGTATTTCCTAGTAGGAAATCAAGATTGCCAGGCTATTAATTCGCAATCTTGGGTTAGTAAAGAATAGGAAACATAAGGGAAGAAGATGAAACAATTAGAATGACTGTGAGAATAAATTAACGGGAAATCTTACATGTGTTTCATGTATTGCTGTCATTGAACCAATCCAGTTATGCCCTGCTTTAGATATGGCCCACATCCCTTTTTTTTCTAGAAAAGCTGTTCTGCTCCTTTCTTGCTACCTTCTTCAGTAACGAGGGCCACATTTCAGCTAAATTTGACAGATGTAGAGATCTCTCGGGTACTTAAACTTGAGACCTTCTGAAGATTGGTGTATATAGGAAGCGATGAGATGCAGAGTGGTGTGTGCTGAGAGAGAAAGTTGCTGTGCTCTCCAATATCAGGTAGCAGACCGGGTGTCATCTGTGTATTCGGCTAGACAGTCCACGTGTACACTTGAGGAGTCATTACTTAGCCCAGCCAAATGAATAGCAGACGCGGTAGAGATGGGCAGGATTTCTCAGGGGGAGGTATGGTGCAAGATTGTAAGAAAACGGGCTTTAATGGTCTTCCTGATCACAGAACAGCTTATTACTTGCTGGAATATGGAGATTATTGGGGCGGGAGGGGGAAAGTATCTAGGAAAAGTACTTGGAACATCTGTGTGTCTATTCAGCACCTCATTTCTAAACTTGTTTTCTTATGACTCTTGTTCTAGGAGTGCTTACTAGAAACCGACATCATGTGAGCCTCATCTGCTAATAACAGGAAAAGAGGGATATGGCCAGGTTTCTTATTTGGCACCCGCGGTGTTGCATGCTTGGGAGAAGTCTCCATTCACACCCTGACCCTATCCATTCTGTTTACAAACGTTGCACCGCCAGAAGAAATATGCGGAGAGGTCTCTTTTTTCTTTTTATTCTCATAGGATTTGTTGACTGTATGTAAAGGATCAATTGAGTTGCAAGTAAGGTAAGCAAAATTCATTGGTAATGGAGGTGGCCTTGTTTTCATGTGCTGTTACGTTTGCACTGAACTACCATGGTCAGGGATTCACCAATAACGTATAACCACCCTTACTCTAGGCGTGTTTAATGAGAACTATCACGGCTAGGAACAATGCAATCAAGTGCAATTTATTACAGCAACCGGTACACAGGGTCTTTGGATTGCCGGCGATAGTTGCTGTCTGCAAAAGCAAGCTAGCATGCATGAAATACACAGGTGACGCAGGTGCACAGCCTGGAAATTAACATGCTAACAGGCACAAAGACTCTAGAGATTTCTAAGTTTCCGTGGAGACACACAGTATAACCAAGTGTTCAAATCTCACCCAAAGGCGTCTCAGTGGGGCGGGGGAAGAGAGGCTCAGCTCGTCCACTGATCCCAGGGGTCAGGAGGTCCTCGGGATGGTGCATTCCCTCGGGATGGTCCTAACGATGATATCTTCCCTAACGATGATATCTTCCCTAACGATGATATCTTCCCTAACGATGATATCTTCCCTAGCGATGATATCTTCCCTAAAGGTGATATCTTCCCTGACATCCCCTCTCTCTTGGGCCAATTTATCTTATTTTCTATCATTTCGGTGGAGCTTGAGTGGCTCTAGTCAAGCATATCTTAATTACGATTGGTGAAAAGTTCTCCCGTCTCCGTTTAAAGCAATAGGCTCCGAGAAATTCAGGGCGCAAGCTCAGTGAGGGGGGGGTCGCACCTTGGAGGCGGGTAGTTTTTGGGCTGGAGTGTGTGTTGGTATTCTAATGATATTGTAATGAGCAAAAAGTACACTAGGGTACAGCATTTGTCAAAACATGACAGGTCCTTGGCTCAGGGTAGCAAAAAGTGCGGCATATCGGTCTCGGTGTGCACAAGAACAATCGAGTCCCCACCTGGTCACAGAGCCTAGCCGTGGTGTCTCCACTGCACTCTACGCTCTGTACTGTTCCTTAGAGCTAGCACACCAAGTTCCCCTAGTGCGATAGCATCTAAGGTTGGGAGCCTAGGGAACGCTCAGGTAATGCAGCTACGCCCTACCCTGAAAGCCTCTTCAGTGCTGTAGATTTTCCTTAAAAAATGTGAATGTTAGTCTTCTTTTCCTAGTTACTTCAGGCAAGTATACCACAGCAGCTTAGGTTAAAAAGCTGCACTTCAAGATGTGTGGATCCAGAGTAACATGTGGAATAGGAGATTTATGCCCTAACATTGCAGTGTAAGATGCGTTTCCTAACGTGAATTGGCAACATGACTGTTTTTTTCCCGCTGTTACCCTTTTCTCTAGTGCTTTTGGTTTGATTGGGGGGAGGGGGTGTTTGTTTTTTTTTGTCGCAGTTTCAAAGTTTAATGGAGCAGTGACATTAGCTGGAAAGAAGGGAGAAGCCAAGTATTTCTCAGTGAAGATGGTAACAGTGCTGTCTCTGTATTTGTAGAAAGAGATTGTTTTGCAGGTACAGGATACTTCACTGAGACTGTATTCTCCATAAACCGGAAACCTGACTGAAGAAATTTGTGTCATTCCAGATTCTTACAAGCTTCAAATGGCTCCTACTGGGCATTCCCAGGTAGAACAGCACCAGATGAGTGTTGAGACCACCGTGGAAGCTTCTACAGAGCCAGACAATGTAGTTATTGTGCAGCACTATGAGCTCAAAGTATGTCAAATTCCAACTTTTTTAAATGCTCAAATAGGACATATTCTTGTGACCTGTACAATTACAACTTAAGTCAGTTGTTAAGCAATGCCAATTAAAACAATTAATTGGAAGGACATACAGATTGTGAAGTAATTCAACCTATAATGCACTGTGGCTGTTTAGTTTCCACACCTTGTGTAGATTTCTGTAGGCCACCGTTTGCTTTTGGTCAACTGTAGTTGAGGAGACAGATTCTTTGCCTAATTTTTAAGGTAAAAGGCCTTGTTGAATTTTAAAATACCTCACTGATGACCTGCTAGTACTATTGGTTATGATTGTTGTTTTAACAATTTTTCTGATGATAGGCTTTTATTTGGGGATGTTTATTATGAGTTGTTGTTTTTCTGTTTGTTTGTTTGTTTGTTTGTTTTTTATGCTTTGATGTATTAGGAACATGAAAAGGATCTTTATTTCTTTCAGAGATGATTTTAAACCTGAAGTTAGCAGGTTGACATAAACAGGGTAGCCATGGATAAGTGACTACTTTTCTGAAATTGCTTCCAAATGCAGTATTAGAATTTCCCATCCATACTATTGCAGTGTACTGAGGGTTTGCCAGTCTCTCATGGGAGGAAAGTGGTTATCGTAGGCTCCAGCGGGGGAAGTGGGTAAGACTGGCACTAGGTACGTGAAGAAGAACGTTCCTTTGCAGGAGTTGGAGAGGGCATAAGTAAGGACCGTCTTGAGGGGAGAGCAGAATGAGGGAAATTAGAATGAGGCAATTAGAATTGAGGCAAATTGCTAGGAGTCCTGGAGGTTGGCCCAAAGCAGATAAGGGCTGCTGTTTATGTGCTGCATGAATCCTGTGTGGGGAGAATATGACCAGATAAGAATCCTCTTGGGTAAAAGGGCTTGTCAACACGATTTTTGTCAAATCCTTAAGCTGTGACCTAATTTGTAGAGGCGATACTAACTTTTCAAAGGTGTCTTGCTAAGGAAGCAGATTCCAGGTTTCTTTGTTGTTCGTGTACTTGCGATTGTGAGCACAGATGTGGTAGACTGATAAGTAATAAAAGATTGTCTGAAGTGTAAGCCTTTCCTTTCTCTGAAGTATGAAGAATGAACTCATTTTCTCCACTGAAATGGCGTGGGATATTTAATCTGTTCTCTGCAGTGTCACATTTTATTTAATAGTGTAAGAAAAGTAGGATGTCACTTGTATTGTTACTGTTTAACCTCTGGAAACATAAAGAGCGTATTCAGTAGATCTCGTGCTCTTGTAAAGTGTTTTTTTTTTCTTTTCCCATTGTTTTCTTCAGAAACTGTTGCACACTGTCCTTGAGCTAACTAAGGGATTTGACGTATTTCACTTGGAGAAAGTATATGTAATGATTAAGCGATATATTTACGAACATTGGGAAGACTGTGACAAAACCGATTCAGTGGAGGTAATTTCTGTTTTGTCTTATAGCACTTTCTGTCACCGTTATTTCAGTATGTGTGCATTCTGGCTCTCATGGTTGTTTAGCGTTGCTCTTTCCTGCTTAGTTGTCTGTGCACAGGCAAAAACAAAAGTCAGACTTTTTTGTTTCAGTCTGGAAGACGTCTATCCATATTGCAAAAGCATTGCTATATTTGGCATAATTGTTGGCAGTTTCAGCAGGAAAAAGCTTGACCTTGAAGACAATGTGTTCACCCACACAGCCCTTCCAAAGCAGTTAACCTTGGTCTGTCAGTAGTTTTTCTTGAGCACCAGTTTGGGAGCGGGAGGGCTATGAAGGGAAGGTGCTTTTCTAAGTCTTTTGCTTCCTCTCTCTCCCTCTATAGCCAGTCGGGCATGGTAATACTTGGTAGTCGTTCAATCCTTGGAGAGAAACTGGAGTATATAACAAGAGTTTGAGACTTCTCTCTAGTCACACTCTAATCTCTATCTAATATGCTTGAACATCTGTAATTTGGGAGATTTCTGCCTGTGCCAGTTTTACATTACATTGAGTCAAGTTTTGCTCTCTACAGATACCTTAAAGGAGGCTGTAGTGAGGTGGGGGTTGGCCTGTTCTCCCACGTGCCTGGTGACAGGACGAGGGGGAATGGGCTTAAGTTGCGCCAGGGGAGTTTTAGGTTAGATGTTAGGAAGAACTACTTTACCGAAAGGGTTGTTAGACACTGGAACAGGCTGCCCAGGGAGGTGGTGGAGTCACCATCCCTGGAAGTCTTTAAAAGACGTTTAGATGGAGAGCTTAGGGATATGGTTTAGTGGGGACTGTTAGCGTTAGGTCAGAGGTTGGACTCGATGATCTTGAGGTCTCTTCCAACCTAGAAATTCTGTGATTCTGTGATCCCCTGGGCTCTTCTCCCACAAGCTGCCCCTGCAGAACCCCCCTATCAAAACCTGGCCACATAAGACAAATACTGAAGGATACCAAGGGACTGGTCGTGTAGTTGCAGTTTTATTCAGAGAGATCTTCCCCAGGGAAGCTTTGCGGCTCCCTGGCTTTTCACGGCCAGCAGCGCAGTGCTTTTAGCCTAGCCCATCTTGATGATGCGGGTTGCTGCTGTACTTGACGTTGCAGGATCTCTATGGTCCAGCTGCCAGGTTACGGATCAGTGGATGGGTGTCACATTGCATTTGGAGGACTGCGACAGAAAGACACAGAGCAGAGATGCAACCTGTTGACCTACAGAGACCATCCAGCATCACTCTGGACCATGCCAACCCCATCGTATACTTCTAGGGCCAGCAGGAACAGGTCCGGCTAGCATGTCCCTTTGCCCCTGCAGCATTTCCCTGGAGCAGGACAAGGCTGCAGACTGCATGGGCTCTGCCCCCTGTCACTTGGTCCCAGCACCCCCAGCACTGCCCTCACTCACAGGTGATGATCACATGCAGGTCTTCTTTGTCTAGGTCCCTGGAGTGCATTGCAGCAAACGCTAGGAAAAGAGCACCAGTCAGATCCTGCTCCCCATCACAGCCCCTGGTATAGACAGGCGCTGCCCCCCGCCCCCAGCCCCCCTGCAAGCACAGTGCCCAAGGAGGAACCTGAGCAAGGCACACCCCAGGCCCACCTGCATGGGCAGGGGGCTGAGGGAGGCACAGGGCTCCTGGGGGTACAATCAGGGGCTTCAGGGCCCACAGGGCTGGGCCTTGCTGCCACGGCAGGGCCCAGACAGGGAAGCAGGGCCTTGGCTCACCGATGAATCTGACAGCCTTCTGTCGCAAGCTGGTCTGATCATCCCACAGGTATGTCAGGCTCTGCTGCAGGTATCCTTCCACCCTGCTCCTCTTCTGCTTGAGCTGGAGAAAGCACAAGGGCACAGAGCTCACAGACCCTCCCCAGCCAGCCGGACAACTCCCTCCTGCCAGCACCCCCCTTCCCCTTTCCCCCAGGCCATCCCCAGCTCCCAGCCAGGAGCTCTGTGGGGCTGAGGTTTGGAAAGAGTTAGGAGACCGTTCTGTCCCGCTGCCAAGGCCCAGATGGGCTAGGGTCTCCTCCCGCATGCTGGGGGTGGGGAAGGCAGAGGGGCCTGCAGAAGAGCCCTTGGGGCTCTGTGCTGGAGGGAACGGAGCCACGATGCAGCTGCAGGCGGGGGACTCTGGGCTGGAGCAGCCTGGGCATGTCAGACAGGCTTGTCCATATGGGGCCTGGGGCTGTGTGGTTCTCCTTACCAAGTACCCCCCAGTCTTAGAGATGTCCTCAGTCTGAGCCAGCTGCTCAAGCTGTTTCCACTTCAGGAACTTTGCACAAGCAAGTAGGACTTCTGCAGAGACCTGTGGAGAAGCAGAGGCAGGGAGATGGCACCTCACACACATACCTAAAGTGTCTGATTGCCTGCTGCCCTGGCCCCCGCCATGCCCAGAATACCCCTCTGGTGTCAGCACACCCAGTGCCCACGTCAATGGCCAGGTCTGAAATCTGTACCTTGGCCACACTCTCAGTGTTGTCACTCATCCGGAAAAGCAGTGGAATAATGGCCCTGTGCACAGTCTTCTTCATTTCTCCTTTTTTCCACCACAGCACAGACTCCATCAAGTCTTTGAAGAGGAGCATGGAGCATTCTCGCACCTCACTGGACACCTGTTAGGGAGGGCAAAAGGAGGATTTCACCAACTGCCAGCCTCCCCCTGTCCATGGGGAGCAAGGGCCGTAGGGTGGCTGATGTGAAGGGTGAAGCCTCATGTTTGGAACAAAGGAGCTAAAGGCCTGCACAAGGCAAAGCAACAGGTTTCCTGCACGGGGTGCCTGTACCATGGAGTGTGCTACAAGCCAGCCCACTTTTGCTAGTAGCTGCACCAGCCATGTCAAAGCAGAGCTCCCCTGGGAAAGGGCTTTGGTAAGGCTTCTGGGGCACACTCTGTCTCCTCAGCTTCTGCCTTTCTGCCCCAGCACAGGGAACTTTTGGCTGTGCTGAGTTGGATACCTGACAGCGAGAAGCCCTGCTGGACTGCGGAGCCCAGAAGACAGCCCACGAGAGCCCGGAGGAGCAGAGAGAGGAGAAGGCCTTGCCTGAGTGCTGCCCACAGGCCTGGACCAAAGGGCAATGCCATTTCAGGGTGCCTGTCTGCGGGGCTCAGTCACCAACAGCAGTCTTACATCGTTAAACAGAGGCAGGAGTCTCCCAGCCAGTGCCAGAGCGATGTGGCTGGCCTCCTTCTTCTCCAGATGACGAATCACATTTTTGAAGATAGTCAGGGCCTTCATGTTGATGTGCGTGTTTTCATACTGCAGAGTCTCCATGACTTCTGGCAGCAGGACCTGCACATCCGTCACCTGTACAGAAAGACACCGTATGTATTTAGTCAAGAGGTGGACAGCCACCCTGGCCAGGATGCTCTGGTTCCAGAGCACCAGCCTCCTGCTCACTTCCTGGCAGCTGCCATGGGAATTTCACCAGCAACCTTCCATCAGGCAATGGCCACGAATGTGGTGATTAAGTAGCTGGGAGAGCAGGGCATGGGGAAGGGAGGTGATGAGAGCAAGGGCTCCGTTTCCCCCCCTGAGTCGCCTGCTTTGCACATGTCCCCCAGGGAATCCATCTGGAAAGCTCCTGGGACGCTGCACAGGCAGCCACCAGGCCCCACCGCCACCATCACCCCACCTCCTGACTCCCAGCTAATGACAAGCCATGGTGTTGCCTCCTGTCCCAGCACCAGGCTGCCAACAGGGCTTTGTTTGGCAAAGTCCAACTCACCATCTGAGATGTCTCCGACAGCATGACGAGGGCTCTGAGCACCAGCCAGAGGATCGGCAGGCTGTTAAGACTCAGAAGCGTCAGGAGCTTTTTTGGGTCACGTAAATTCGATAGTACATGTTCAGTTGGATGCATCATCTGAAAAGACCACAGCCGTGAGAGATGGGCAGAGCCTGCAGCATGCCCATCACCACGCAGCTCCTGGCTCCCCTGGCAGCTCAGGGCAGGCTGCGGGGGACATGCACCCAGGTGCCTGTCCAGATGCTCATCCTGGGGCAGCTGTGCCTGCAGAAGAAAACAGGGCCCCTCTGTGCCCTGTGCATGGCACCACGCGGCACCTTTTCTTTGCCTGCTCCTCCTGCCCTCTGGCTGTCCGCAGCCTCTTGCTGCCATGCCTCTGAGGAGCAACAGAGCAGCATGAACTGGCACAAAGCAGGCTACAGGTGCTACTTGTCCCCGGCCTCACAGCCTGCCCAGGCTGTGCAAAGACCACGGCTCTGTCCCAGCCTCAGCCATTGCTGTGATAATACCCCTGGCCCTGCCACTGCTGCAGGTTTCCATTCTGAAGGGCAAGGTAGGGGGATGCCGGAGATGGAGAAAAGTGAGCACTGCCTGTAAAGGGGTAGGCTTCGTCTTTGTGCACAGGGACCCCGTATGGCTGATGTAGGGGGGCTGGTGCTGGCCCTAAGGGGCTGTGTCTATTTAGTCCTGGAAGAGGCGACAGGTTGGGGAGGATGGGGTAGGGAGAGGACTGTGCCTCTCCCAGAGGAGCGCACACAGCCCTGAAGAGGAGCAAGGTGTGTTCTCTGGTTACTCACAGCAAACTTAAGAAGGCTGGTGTGCACAGGCCGGGCTTGCAGAGACCCGCACACCCGTTTGTCCTGGAGAACATTCTGTAGCTCCTGCAAGATCTTCTCTGAAGTCATTGGAAAGGAAAGCATCACCTTCCACATGTCCAGTGTAGTGCTGCAAGCCCAGAACACTCTGTTGGCAGGGCTGCCCTGGCCACAAAGCTGTGACCCAGACAAGCCCCGCAGGTCCCAGGCTATCCTGCAGCCCTGGCCCTGACCCGCTGTGTGCTTAGGGAGCTGTTGGGGTGGTACCTGTCAAGTGGCGGAAGGTTGGTCAGCACGCTTATGAGAGCTTCCCTGGGAAACTGCTTAGTCAGTGCCTTCAGTACTAAGAAGAAGCTCTGCCGGAGTAAAGATGTGCTGTCGCTCCTTTTCAGGTTTTCATGGAGGAATCTCAGAATCCTTTCCACCTGGAAGGGACACAGGAGAGAATGTGGCTGCCGCTGGACTGCAGCCAGTTGCCCAGCTGCCACTGGAACTGCTGCTGGGTATGAGAGGCAGGATGTGAGCAAGGGATGAAAGGGCTCAAGGGCAGGGCAATCCGCTGCTTACATCCATCAGCCAGGAGGCAGAGTCTCTCGCGGCCACTCCCAGCGTGAACTTGGCCCACTGATTCTTGTTGTCGTCGATGCAGCAGTCTCTAATGGTCTCAAGTGTCCTGAGGACAATGGTTGTCCTCTGAGAAGACTGGAAGTATTTTCCAATTGGCTATGGAAGGAAACAAAGGATGAAAGGGAGGAAGGGAGAAGGGAAGGAAGGGAGGAAAGACAGGACACAATAAGTCAGAGAGCAGCACCTGGGGAGGGAAGATCAGGGGGAAGGAGAAAGAAAGACCCTCCCTTCAGGGCAGAGCTGTGCTGACGGCCCCCACCTGTGGCCAGCTTTGCCTCACAGGCACCCCTGAGCTGCAGGCTGCCCTGGAACATAGGGAAGGGCAGACGGCCTGGCTGGAGGGTGCCTGTGTCCTTACCTCGTGATGAAAACGGGTAGAAATGAAACCAATCAGCCTCCAGATCCTCTCCATGGCTCTCTCCTTTCCAACTTTGTTCTGAGAGCTCGTGAAGCATAGCAGCACCTGCAGGAAGCAAAGCTGCTGGTGTGCTCTGGGAGCTGACAACTGCTCCAGCAGAAGCAGCACTGCTGAACTCCTGGCTGGAGTCACAACGTTCATTAGGGATTCCCAGAGCTGGAGCAAAGCCCTCAGTGGGTCACTGAGCCATGGGGTCCCTTCACACAAATCCCAAGGCCAACCCTGTAGCCAGGCAAGTAGGCAGATGCCATCCCAGGGAAGGCCTATCCCCCAGAACACAGTTCTCTGTCCCCTCCCCATGAAGGCTGGCTTTTGGAGCAGTGTCCTGGTTTCAGCTAGGATAGAGTTAATTTTCCTCCTCCTAGCTGGTGTGGTGCTGTGTTTTGCATTTAGGCTGAGAATAATGTTGATAACACGCTGATGTTTTAATTGTCGCAGAGCAGTGCTTACACTAAGCCAAGGACTTTGCAGCTTCGCGCTCTGTCCTGCCAGCGGGCAGGCTGGGGGTGCAGCAGGAGCTGGGAGGGGACAGAGCCAGGACAGCTGACCCAAAGTGGCCAAAGGGGAATTCCATCCCATCTGGCGTTATGCTGAACAATTATAGGGGGGGGCTGGCTGGGGTGGGGGGAGCGGGTGCTCAGGGATGGGCTGGGCATTGGTCAGCAAGTTGGAAGCAATTGCATTGTGTATTATTAGTTGTGTAATTGATATAGTATAAACTCACTTTAGGATAGAATAAAACTTGTGGAATGATATTGTATAAACTCACTTTAGGATAGAATAGAACTTGTGATTAAAAGTTAGCAAGGACAAAGTAAACAACATCTTGTTATCTGTAGACCTTCTGTTACGTTTAAGCATTTTGTTATTTGAAAACATCCCATTATCCGTTAACACTCAGTCAGGCTGAGACTTGAGATAACTTGGGTCAACTGTCTGTTATGTCTTGTTAACTGAGACATCCTGTTATCTGCCGACCCTCAGTTAAACCGAAAGACAACTCAGCATTTTTACAGCTTGGAAAACGACTGATTAAGGAAGTGCATTACGAGGAAGACCTATGGCCTTCCTCCCAAAGACCACTGCCCACATCCTGGAGACCCCGGCCCACAATTCTTGGAAGACTTTTGCACAAGCGCAAGGACTGATAAGCTAATTAGCATACGAAGGGAGGGTAGGTGGGGTTAGGTAACGAATATGTATGGGTGCTAATTGAATATTCATTGTTTCGCTGTATAAATATGAGATATTTTGTCACTTCGAACATGCACGATAGGCGGAAGGATCCCCAGTGCATCCAGCGCTGCAATAAAGAATATACCACTTAAGGAAATTTCGGGTTTGATCTTTAAATCATAATACACAAGAAATGTTTGTTCATTGTCTTTTGTATTATAAAAACAAGGAGTTCCGTTTGAGGAGCGGGAGTTGTGAAAGCTCCCTGCTGAAGTAAGGAGCTGTATAACGCTTGGCTAGACGCTAGTCTACAGGCAGTTAACTTACAGTGGTCTGATTTTACTTGTGTATCTATATATTGTGGATTTTGGAGGGATTGGGATTGACTAGTAAAGAGCCTCTAGGAAAACGGTGGAATATTGACCATTGTAGATTACAATAGGAAAAGTTCAAAGCAAAGAAATCCCGAGGAAAAGCCCCCTAGGATGTATACTAACACATTGGAGGGATATAGTGGGGTGAAAGGGTACAGAAAGTAAAAGAACTCTTATCAAATATTGTAATCAGTGGTGGCCACTTTATAAACTAGAGGATGGAGCAGAGTGGCCCCTAAATGGAACTACCAATTATAACACCATATTACAGTCAATGTTGTTTTGTGGAAAGAAGGAAAACAGGATGAAATGTTGTATATTGATGTTGTTTCAGCATCTTGGAGGGAAAAGGTACGGAATTAAGTTGGCCCCTGACTGAGCCTTTGATGTCGGCATTAGAAAAGTAAAGGCTAGAGAAAGATAAAGGAAGTGTTAAAAGGTTTGTTGAAAGTGTTAAAGGTATTCGAAGTTGAATGAGCAGGGAAAGGTGATGTAGGCATTATCTAAGTAACAGTCTAGAAGTTTTGGTATATTTGCATATTTGCTGTGGTGTTTGTTCAGTTTCCCAAGAATCGGGGAGGGGGCAACAGCCTGCTCCACCAGGGGCCTCTCCAGCGGCCGCAGGGGGGCTTCGGCTCCAGCGCCTGGAGCGCCTCCTCCCCCTCCTTCTGCACTGACTTTGGTGTCTGTGGGGGGGTTTCTCGCTCTCCCAGCTGCTGTTGAGCAGCAGGTTTTTGTTTGTTTCTTTGTTTGTTTGTTTTCGTGGATGTGCTCTCACAGAGGCACGGACTGTGTTGCTATGGCTTGGCTCTGGGCAGCAGTGGGCCCCTTTAGGGCCAGATGAAATTGTCCCTTATCTACCACGGGGAGGTTTCTGTGTGTTTGTTTGTTTGTTTTTCCACGGGGGCTGCCACTGCAGTTTCCCACCCCCACACCCCTTGAACCTTGCCATCAAACCCAATACACTGGGACAGCTAAGTCCTTACTGACTTGTAAAGTATCAGGGATTAAATTAACTAATGAAACCCTAGATGTGATGGGGGTAGAAGGGACTGGGATAACAGTGCCACTTTGGGGGGATACCAAGCTGAGACTAGGGGATAAAATGATCACTGGGTAATTATTGTATGTATCCAAGGCAGAGACTAACTTGTTGGGAAGGGATTTGATGATTAAATTGGGCATTCAACTAGTAAATTGTTAGACTGGAATAACAGTGTTATTAATGGAGTGCTCTCTGGCCCTGAGAGCAAACATACATGGATATTCACCTCTGACTGGAAAGACCCTGAAATGGGGGTGGAAGCGACGGTATAGGTAGACAATTTTACCTCAGGGGTTTACAGGGCCACCTATCTATTTGGGTAAATTCTAAAGATTTTGGAGCAATTACAACCTCCCAAGGAGGTATTAATGTTACAAATATGTGGATCATTTTAAGGAAAATCGATACTCCCTGATGGGAGAGAAATACTGAATAAAGTGATAATGAGGCAAATATTAAGTGTTTTCCATCAGAAGAGTCATTGGGAGGTGCAAGCAATGTGTGATGTTGTTCTAAGAAAGCATGTCTTTGTAGGAATATATACTTTAGGGAAGCACACATGCAGAGGATGTACTACTATATGTCGAAGGGTAAATAAAAAGGTCTTCTGTAACCTATCTAGAGGGGGACGGGAGCCAGGGCTTTGACCTTTCCAAAGTATACAGGTAGACTTTACTGAGTTACTTGTTTGTCCTAATTGACCACGTGACTGAATGGGTGTAAAGCTTTACTGCAAGGATTAAAGCAGGCCTTAGCGATTGAGTGGGATTTTCACAGCCCCTGGCACCCCTCCTCTTCTGGAAAGGTAGAGCGAATGAATGGTGAAATTAAGAAACAACTAACAAAACTTGTGCCAAAACTAAGGCTTCTTGGGTAAAATGCTTACCTCTTGCACTGTTAAACATATGGACACAGCCCAGAACTGATGTAGGAACTTCTCCTTTTGAAAAGCTATATGGTATGCCCTATGACTTGGAATTGCCACTTGATCACCCTCAATTCTAATTAAGACTTGGAAAGAGACTTCTTTAACACCACGATGGGGAAGGCCCCTATGTTGTTTTGCTTACCACAGAAACGGCTATTCGAACTGCAGAGAAAGGATGGACGCATGCCAGCCGTGTGAAAGGACCAATCCGGGAAGGTAAATGGGAGGCAGCTCCAGGCCCTGACGACTTGAAGCTGACACTAAGACGGACTCGATAAGTATTGTATATTATCTGTGTATCGTGGGAAGGGGAGGAGGCCCTGTTCCAAAGGCTCCCTAGTAGGTTCCCCTGAAGAACACTGCTGCTGCCAAGAAGAACCAATACCTTGTAGTTCGCTGCAACCGAACTGACAAGCGAGGCAGAGAAGTGAAAACGGTGGGGGACTGAGGGGCCGACGATTTAGATGGGCTCCGACCACCTCCTACAATACATGGGAGTCAGTATCATTGTTTTGGTCAGCTATGGGTCTGCGCATCCCCATCAGCCTTTTAAATGGAGCTTGATCAGATGGGAGGATCAATTCGTCATCCAGCAAACAACGACAGTGGGTGCTCCCAGTTTCTGCATCACATTAAGTGACCTGGTGTCAGTGCAGCCATGCTTAAACCGATCAGGATTTTATTTCTGCCCAAGTTCTAACCCAGAAAAGGGGTACTGTAAATGCCCGAACGTGTATTATCGTGCATACCGGGGGTGTGAAACCATTGCTACGGACTGGACACTCAGGGCTGGTCGGGATACATTTTTACAAGTGGGATATGGGCCGCAAGGTTGTAACCGACAAGCAGATCCCCGTTCCGGGTGGCGAGGGCATGGTATAGGGTATCCAGGAACCTTCCACGGAAATAAAGAAATTTGCAAGGTTCTATATATAAATATAACAAACTTGGACGATACTAGCTGGGTACTAGGAAAAATGTGAGGTGTCAGATTTTACAAACACCGAACAGATAGGGGAGGCCTCATACTAATAAAAAGGAGGATGCCGATAGGCCCCAGGCAGTAGGACCAAATGAGGTATTGTCAGAAAGTGTCCAGGGAATCCAGCCTGCAGAAAATACTACAGTGCCAACCCTCGGCAGCCCTACGAGCTCAGGTAAAGCTGAGAATGATAACATAGCTGAGAATAACACATGGGGGGGTCATGAATGCCAGCTACCAATTATTAAACAAAACAAACCCAAATGTAACAAAACACTGTTGATTATGCTTTAGTATAAGGCCTTCATATTATGATGCTATCGGGAATCCTGGGGAGCCCTCCCGCACAAATGAGAACAGCCCTCTACATTGCAGTTGGGGAAAAGACATAAGGGTAACACTAACACAAGTCACTGGAGGTGGTAGGTGTGTGGGCACGGTTCCTAGTGGGAAGTGTCACCTATGTAATATCATGGAGAATGGAAAACAATCAACCGAGTGGCTAATCCCAGCCAACAACGCTAGGTGGGTTTGTTCGTCAGTGGGCGTAACTCCTTGTCTATCACTAAAACTCTTCAATGCGTCTCGTGATTTTTGTATACAGCTGATAATTATACCAAGGATTCTATACCACCCTGAGGATTGTATGTACACCCAGCACACAGTGGCAAGGCATCATCTGGAAAGACGGGAACTGTTCACGGCTCTAACTTTGGCCACCCTAATAATCCTGG